ATTCCGTATAATATCAGGACAAATCAACAGAGTTGCCTAGTTCTTGCAAAAATCAGTAGAACGTCCTTTTATTAGTATAGTCCACTATCCTCTTTGCACCAGTGTCTTCAATTGGTATTGAAATGGTGATGAAATAAAGAATTATCTTTATTTAATATTTTAAATATTAATTAAATTGTTAAAAAATCTAAGTTCCATTAAATTGTACATCAAGTTGATTAAATGAAAGAATACCTCTAATATTGCAACTAAATAGTATTTAGTTTTTTCTAGATTTAAAGTGAGAGACGTGCTATCAAACCAACCGTTTATTTTAATGAAACCTTTCTCTACTATATTTTTAAGTTCATTCCAATTTTTAGCATTATAAAAAATTGCAGTATCATCTGCGAAAAAACCTTAAACTTTACCTCTGCCGTGATGGGAAACAGACCATTGATGTATATATTGAACAGTATGGGTCCTAAGACACTGCCTTGAGGTACTTAGTACTCAATTATCTGTCGACTACTAGTTTCCCAATCTGTAGATTTTTCTTCTTTGAATCCAAACTGCATAGGTGATAAAATTTCGATTTGTTTAAAAAAGAATTTAGTCTATTTTTTATTAGCGATTCAAAAATTTTTGATAAGTGAGTCAATAGAGAAATTGGTCTGTAATTACTACATATATAGTAGTATTACCTTTCTTAAAGACAGTGCCGGTTTAAGGTACTTTTGCGCCCGGTGTTACTTGTAATCGCCGCCCTATCTATTAATAATTTATTTATCTTAGATTACTGAATTTATATATTATTTAAAAAAAAAATAATATAACGTCACAACATCAATAAACCATAATTATTATAATGGTCAGAAACAGATATAAAACTAGTACGCAAACACAAATAATAAAATAAAACAGACACAAGTGACAAAAATAAGATTAAAGAAAATACCAGTCTAAAACATAAGTTGCCATTCTTGTTTTCTACAATATTATCACTAAAACATTAATATAAATAATGGAATAAAGACTAGTAGAAAAAAATATTGCATGTATATGGTTTTGATGTTTTTAAAAAATATCATCATCATTTTCCCTTTCTATAAAAATAACATTTGATTTTCTATTTCAGGTAAGTCATCTCCATAATTGTCAACCACACCGCGGAAACTACGTCCATGTTGGTAAGTTACGACTATATCCATAAGTTACAACCAACAAGTTAAATTTTATTATAAAATGTCACAGAATTAGCATCTTAACTTGGGGAGGAACAATTCGAAGTTATCTGGATTAGTTTCGAAATACTACAACGCAAAATTTTAAGTTATATATTGTTAAAATATAAAATTTAATAATGATCTTCTTTTTAAAGAAGTACATGTAATGTTTTTCAGACAGCATATCTATTTAGTTTTAATATGTATTTATTTTAAAACTGCCCTTTCCTACGTTAAGATATGTTAAGAACGGGGTGTTAAAAATCTACTGTGTCCACTTCTGTCACTAATGCAGCAAGGAACTATTTCCTTTAAAACTTCATTTGATAAAATCCCTATAAACTTATCGCAAATATCTTTTGATAAATAAGAAACAGTGCTCTTTCCACGATTTGCAAGTTTTCTTATATGATCTTTTAAAAAAGGATCATATTCAAACAAAACTTCAATCGCACCCAAATAATTGCCTTTATGATCTTCGCCTATCTTTTCATTACTAACATCTAAATGCTAACTCGTGTTGCTAAAAATTTTATAATGATAACAAACAATTCTTTTTAATACGTTAATATACATTTCCTAAATATTTTGTTAAATTTTGAAGTCTATAAATCAATTAATTGATATTGAAATGGTGATGAAATAACGGCAATATCAAATTGTTAAAAAATCCAAGTTTAACTTTGACACCTTGTAACTTTAAAACCAATTGAAATTTTAAAATGTAGTTTTCAAAATTATATTTCTACACATTTCCTAAATATTTTGTCAAATTTTAAAATCTATAGATCAACTGGTATTGAAATGGTGATAGAATAAAGGCAATAATGTAAATTGTTTAAAAAACCAAGTTCAACTTTGACACCTTGTAACTTAAAAACCTGTTGAAATTTTAAAATGTAGTTTTCAAAATTATATTTCTACACATTTCCTAAATATTTTGTCAAATTTTGAAGTCTATAGATAAACTGATATTGAAATGGTGATAAAATAAAGGCAATATTAAATTGTTAAAAAATCCAAGTTTAACTTTGACACCTTGTAACTTTAAAACCAATTGAAATTTTAAAATGTAGTTTTCAAAATTATATTTCTACACATTTCCTAAATATTTTGTCAAATTTTGACGTCTATAGATAAACTGATATTGAAATGGTGATAAAATAAAGGCAATATTAAATTGTTAAAAAATCCAAGTTTAACTTTGACACCTTGTAACTTTAAAACCAATTGAAATTTTAAAATGTAGTTTTCAAAATTATATTTCTACACATTTCCTAAATATTTTGTCAAATTTTAAAATCTATAGATCAACTGGTATTGAAATGGTGATAGAATAAAGGCAATAATGTAAATTGTTTAATAAACCAAGTTCAACTTTGACACCTTGTAACTTAAAAACCTGTTGAAATTTTAAAATGTAGTTTTCAAAATTATATTTCTACACATTTCCTAAATATTTTGTCAAATTTTGAAGTCTATAGATAAACTGATATTGAAATGGTGATAAAATAAAGGCAATATTAAATTGTTAAAAAATCCAAGTTTAACTTTGACACCTTGTAACTTTAAAACCAATTGAAATTTTAAAATGTAGTTTTCAAAATTATATTTCTACACATTTCCTAAATATTTTGTCAAATTTTGACGTCTATAGATAAACTGATATTGAAATGGTGATAAAATAAAGGCAATATTAAATTGTTAAAAAATCCAAGTTTAACTTTGACACCTTGTAACTTTAAAACCAATTGAAATTTTAAAATGTAGTTTTCAAAATTATATTTCTACACATTTCCTAAATATTTTGTCAAATTTTAAAATCTATAGATCAACTGGTATTGAAATGGTGATAGAATAAAGGCAATAATGTAAATTGTTTAAAAAACCAAGTTCAACTTTGACACCTTGTAACTTTAAAACCAATTGAAATTTTAAAATGTAGTTTTCAAAATTATATTTCTACACATTTCCTAAATATTTTGTCAAATTTTAAAATCTATAGATCAACTGGTATTGAAATGGTGATAGAATAAAGGCAATAATGTAAATTGTTTAAAAAACCAAGTTCAACTTTGACACCTTGTAACTTAAAAACCTGTTGAAATTTTAAAATGTAGTTTTCAAAATTATATTTCTACACATTTCCTAAATATTTTGTCAAATTTTGAAGTCTATAGATAAACTGATATTGAAATGGTGATAAAATAAAGGCAATATTAAATTGTTAAAAAATCCAAGTTTAACTTTGACACCTTGTAACTTTAAAACCAATTGAAATTTTAAAATGTAGTTTTCAAAATTATATTTCTACACATTTCCTAAATATTTTGTCAAATTTTGACGTCTATAGATAAACTGATATTGAAATGGTGATAAAATAAAGGCAATATTAAATTGTTAAAAAATCCAAGTTTAACTTTGACACCTTGTAACTTTAAAACCAATTGAAATTTTAAAATGTAGTTTTCAAAATTATATTTCTACACATTTCCTAAATATTTTGTCAAATTTTAAAATCTATAGATCAACTGGTATTGAAATGGTGATAGAATAAAGGCAATAATGTAAATTGTTTAATAAACCAAGTTCAACTTTGACACCTTGTAACTTAAAAACCTGTTGAAATTTTAAAATGTAGTTTTCAAAATTATATTTCTACACATTTCCTAAATATTTTTTCAAATTTTGAAGTCTATAGATAAACTGATATTGAAATGGTGATAAAATAAAGGCAATATTAAATTGTTAAAAAATCCAAGTTTAACTTTGACACCTTGTAACTTTAAAACCAATTGAAATTTTAAAATGTAGTTTTCAAAATTATATTTCTACACATTTCCTAAATATTTTGTCAAATTTTGACGTCTATAGATAAACTGATATTGAAATGGTGATAAAATAAAGGCAATATTAAATTGTTAAAAAATCCAAGTTTAACTTTGACACCTTGTAACTTTAAAACCAATTGAAATTTTAAAATGTAGTTTTCAAAATTATATTTCTACACATTTCCTAAATATTTTGTCAAATTTTAAAATCTATAGATCAACTGGTATTGAAATGGTGATAGAATAAAGGCAATAATGTAAATTGTTTAAAAAACCAAGTTCAACTTTGACACCTTGTAACTTTAAAACCAATTGAAATTTTAAAATGTAGTTTTCAAAATTATATTTCTACACATTTCCTAAATATTTTGTCAAATTTTGACGTCTATAGATAAACTGATATTGAAATGGTGATAAAATAAAGGCAATATTAAATTGTTAAAAAATCCAAGTTTAACTTTGACACCTTGTAACTATAAAACCAATTGAAATTTTAAAATGTAGTTTTCAAAATTATATTTCTACACATTTCCTAAATATTTTGTCAAATTTTAAAATCTATAGATCAACTGGTATTGAAATGGTGATAGAATAAAGGCAATAATGTAAATTGTTTAAAAAACCAAGTTCAACTTTGACACCTTGTAACTTTAAAACCAATTGAAATTTTAAAATGTAGTTTTCAAAATTATATTTCTACACATTTCCTAAATATTTTGTCAAATTTTGAAGTCTATAGATCAACTGGTATTGAAATGGTGATGAAATAAAGACAATATCAAATTGTATCAACTTTGATACCTTGTAACTTTAAAACTAGTTGCAATATTAGAATATGGTTTTCAAAATTATATTTCTACAAATTTCCTAAATATTTTTTAAAATTTTGAAGTCTAATTAACCAACATTTTCAAATAAGTATCATACTTATCTAACTTACCTTAATTGCAGCAATAAAACAAATTTAAAGTCAATATTGTATATTTCCAAGTTATACAAAAGAACATCATCATTATTCATATAAGTAGTCTTAAAAAAATAAAATAACAAAAAAAGAAAATAACGTAACTACACAGTGCTTAATTTAAACTTTTTAAAAATAGTAACATAACTTTCTATTCTTAAAAAAAAAAAAAAAATACGCAGAACTTAAAATAAAAATAGCCCATAGAAATTTAATTTGTGGCAGTAACACATCAAAAATATCACTGGATTACTTTAGAAACTTTTTTATGGGACATTCTATATAAAAAAATAAAATAAATTCCGTTCTGAATGGTTTACGTATTTTTTTTATAAAAAATAAAATTTAATTCCTTTCAATAATAAACTTTTAAGTAAGCCACTGCATAGATTTACAAAACGATTCTCAAAAAAAAAAAATTATTCATCATTCGGATGCAACGGTATCACGAATTTCGGCCCGAACGGCGACTTATACTTAATTCCCACTTCGTTAAAAATATCGACGGGGAATCCCAAATTGCACAAATACAATTTCCCGTTGTTCGACGAATGAGGCAACGGTAAAACGGGTAATAAGGAAAATTTAGGGGTTATTCCGGGGGTTCCGACTGAAGGAGGATCCAACGCCAGTACTGGCGCTTTGTTTTTGTTCACCCAATCGGAAAGTAGCGGATAGTGTCGCGGATTGTCGGTGTCTTCGCATAAAGCTATTATAATGAGATCGGAAACGTTCGGTAAATCAGCGACGTTGTTGAGTAGTCGGTTTTTTGTTAACATATAGAGAGATAGTTCCTTTTTTATGATGGGAGCATCCATGGAGGTTGTAAAGACGATAGTTTGAACACCGTGGCTTGCTAACTGTCTGGCGGTGTTCACACCAATTGCTCCTTGTCTAAAAGATATTAAAACAGGTTTTTAAATGTTAAAGGATCGATTTTATCACCTCTGAGTAAAGTTTTACTTGACAGATCAAGTAGTTACTTTCAACTTTGCTTAGAGGTGAAAATACTGGTTATTAGTATTATAAAAGAACTTACTAACAGTTATAATACTTGTATATTAGAAATGAATATTGTAGATATTGATTTTTATGTCCTATTAAGCTTGTCCTAATTAGTAAATTAGTATTGAAATGGTGATGACATTAAGATAATATCAAATTGTAAAAAAATCAAAGTTCAACTTTCAAACCTTATATAACTTGAAAACTTGATAAAATTTTAAAATGTAGTTTTTAAACTTATATTTCTATACATTACCTAAATATTTTGTCAAATTTTGAAGTCTATAGATCAATTGGAATTGAAATGGTGATGAAATGAAGGCAGTATCAAATTGTTAAAAAATCCAAGTTCAACTTTCATACCTTGTAACTTTAAAACCTGTTGAAATTTTAAAATGTAGTATTCAAAATGATATTTACACACATTTCCTATATATTTTATCAAATTTTGAAGTCTATAGATCAACTGATATTGAAATGGTGATAAAATGAAGACAAATTGTTAACAAAGTTTAAGTTCAACTTTGACACCTTATAACTTTAAAACTAGTTAACATTTCAAAATGTAGTTTTCAAAATTATATTTTCACACATTTCCTAAATATTTTGTCAAATTTTGTAGTCTATAGATCCACTGGTATTGAAATGGTGATAAAATATAGACATAAATTGTTAAAAAAATCTAAGTTCAACTTTGACAATTTGTAACTTCAAAACTAGTTAACATTTTAAAATATAGTTTTCAAAATTATATTTCCACACATTTCCTAAATATTTTGTCAAATTTTGAAGTCTATACATCAATTAGTTTGGAAATGGCGATGAAATAAAGACAATATCAAGTTGTCAAAAAATCTAAGTTCAACTTTGATATCTTGTAACTTTAAAACCTGTTGAAATTTTAAAATGTAGTTTGCAAAATTATATTTCCACACATTTCCTAAATTTTTTGTCAAATTTTGAAATTTATAAATCAATTGATATTGAAATGGTGATGAAATGAAGACATAAATTGTTAAAAAAATCTAAGTTCAACTTTGACACCTTGTAACTTCAAAAATAGTTAACATTTCAAAATGTAGTTTTCAAAATTATATTTCCACACATTTCCTAAATATTTCGTCAAATTTTGAAGTCTATACATCAATTAGTTTGAAAATGGTGATGAAATGAAGACAATATCAAGTTAACACAAAAAAATCTAAGTTCAACTTTGACACCTTGTAACTTTAAAACATATTGAAATTTTAAAATGTCGTTTTCAAAATTATATTTCTACCCTTTTTATAAATGTTTTGTCCAATTCTGAAGTCCTTAAATCAATTAGTTTGGAAATAGTGATGAAATAAAGACAACCATGTTTATTTGGTAAAAACTCAAAATTCAACTTTGACACCTTATAACTTCAAAACTAGTTGAAATTTCAAAATGTCGTTTTCAAAATTATATTTCTACCCTTTTTATAAATGTTTTGTCCAATTCTGAAGTCCTTAAATCAATTAGTTTGGAAATAGTGATGAAATAAAGACAACCATGTTTATTTGGTAAAAACTCAAAATTCAACTTTGACACCTTATAACTTCAAAACTAGTTGAAATTTCAAAATGTCGTTTTCAAAATTATATTTCTACCCTTTTTATAAATGTTTTGTCCAATTCTGAAGTCCTTAAATCAATTAGTTTGGAAATAGTGATGAAATAAAGACAACCATGTTTATTTGGTAAAAACTCAAAATTCAACTTTGACACCTTATAACTTCAAAAATAGTTGAAATTTCAAAATGTCGTTTTCAAAATTGTATTTCTACCTTCTTTATAAATATTTTGTACAATTTTGAAGTCATTAGATCAATTAGTTTGGAAATGGTGATGAAATGAAGACAACAATGTTCATTTGGTAAAAAATAAAAGTTTAACTTTGACACCTTATAACTTCAAAACTAGTTGAAATTTCAAAATGTCGTTTTCAAAATTACATTTTTACTCTTTTTATAAATATTTTGTCCAATTCTGAAGTCCTTAAATCAATTAATTTGGAAATAGTGATGAAATAAAGACAACCATGTTTATTTGGTAAAAAATCAAAGTTCAACTTTGACACCTTATAACTTCAAAAATAGTTGAAATTTCAAAATGTCGTTTTCAAAATTGTATTTCTACCCTTTTTATAAATATTTTGTTACAATTTTGAAGTCATTAGATCAATTAGTTTGGAAATGGTGATGAAATGAAGACAACAATGTTCATTTGGTAAAAAATCAAAGTTTAACTTTGACACCTTATAACTTCAAAACTAGTTGAAATTTCAAAATGTCGTTTTCAAAATTACATTTTTACTCTTTTTATAAATGTTTTGTCCAATTCTGAAGTCCTTAAATCAATTAGTTTGGAAATAGTGATGAAATAAAGACAACCATGTTTATTTGGTAAAAACTCAAAGTTCAACTTTGACACCTTATAACTTCAAAACTAGTTGAAATTTCAAAATGTCGTTTTCAAAATTATATTTCTACCCTTTTTAAAAATATTTTGTCCAATTCTGAAGTCCTTAAATCAATTAGTTTGGAAATAGTGATGAAATAAAGACTACAACAATGTTTATTTGGTAAAAAATCAAAGTTCAACTTTGACACCTTATAACTTCTAAACTAGTTGAAATTTCAAAATATCGTTTTCAAAATTATATTTCTATACATTTCATAAACATTTTGTTAAATTTTGAAATCTATACATCAATGAGTTTGAAAATGGTGCTGAAATGAAGGCAATGTCAAAAAATCGAAGTTCAACTTTGAAAATAGAAAAAAAACCCCTCTAAGTACCCCCAGATATTCCGACTATGCCCAAAATCTAATTAACTCACCGCAGCATGTATTAATGCTCAAGTTTATAATTTAGTGTTTTTTCAGTATTCATTCATGAGCTATCATCGCAAAAACAGTCAAAACGGATTTAGGGAACCCCAAAACATTATCTGTATACAGACAACAAAGTAAAAATGATCTAAAACATATTTTTAAAATTCTAAGTACCTAACATTTTTTATAGACTTCATTTATCTACAAGTGTATTTTTTAAATTGTTTAAAATGGATTTTTTATTCTTCAAATTATATAATTAAACCTAATATTTAATAGAAAACAGCACTAATAATAACAATAACAAAAAAAGATACAGATCACACTAACATTACTCCCAGTGATTGAAAAAATCATTAAAAAAAAATGATGGAAACTCAAATAGGAAATCTTATTCCTAAATACCAGTTTGGTGTCAAAAAAGACTGCTCAACCTCTACATCTTCTATCAATTTTAATCAACAACAAGTACCTCGATCGATGACTTTTTTCTAATTTTCTTTAAGTTTCAATAAAGCACTTTTAATATTAAACACACTTAGAACAATTTAGACATCTTAAGGATGGTATATTAAACATTTTTAAAATTCTAGCACTTAGACCTTTTAGAAATTATTATCTCTAATTGTTTTTTTATTAAATTAATCACCAATTAATAATATTATAATTAAAACTGAACATTTTTAAACAATTATCAGCTATTTATTGGAGCTTTCATACATTTTGAAGGACCCCCGTAATAGCAACTTTAAAAAATAGTAGGTCAAACTCAATAGGACAGGGCACATATTCGAAATAAATTTACCTATGTGGTCCACATAATACAACAACAGTGGGCCATTGATGAGTATTGCGTGGATTAAGTCTATGCCCTCCTCCTAATAATTGAATTGAAATTTCAGCTGCAGCCCTTCCTATTAAGTCTATTCTCTTCTCCCATGTAAGACCCACGCGTTCCGCTACTTCCCACAATTTTTTTCTCAAAGCTCTGGATATGCTTGGAATTATCAAACCGTCGTCGGTAACGTACTCGCAAAAATCTTGTTTGGGGACGGTAATTTGGCGGTACGAAGTTGGAACTGTTGGTAGAACGTTTTCGTCGTGTCTATAAGTGATTTAGTCGTCGATAGTTTAATTTGTATTATAGATACGTCGATAAAGGTGTAAATAAAAGTTGTATGGATTTGAAAAAGTGTACTCTAGAGTTGCCATATAAAAGTAGGATAATTTTACAAAAAAAAGGCTAATTTGTTGTACTTCAACTGTGGTCTTCAAAAATAAAGATCAAGACAACAATGTAGATTTAGTAAAAAATGCAAGTTCAACTTTGACACTTTGTAACTTGAAAACTAGTTGAAATTTTAAAATGTGTTCTTCAAAATTATATTTCTACACATTTCCTAAACATTTTGTCAAATTTTAAAGTCTGTAGATCAATTGGTAATGAAATGGTGATGAAATAAAGGCAACAATGTAAATTGTCAAAAAATCCAAGTTCAACTTTGACACCTTATAACTTCAAAAAAAACTTCTTGAAATTTTAAAATGTGGTCTTCAAAAATAGATTTCTATAGTTTTTGTTAATATTTCTTCAAATTTTAAAGATTGTAAATTAATTAGTTTCAAAACAGTGATAAAATAAAGACAACAATGTTCATTTGATAAAAAAACAAAATTCAAATTTGACACCTTATAACTTCAAAACTAGTTCAAATTTCAAAATGTCGTTTTCAAAATTATATTTCTACCCTTTTTATAAATATTTTGTCCAATTCTGAAGTCCTTAGATCAATTAGTTTGGAAATAGTGATGTAATAAAGAGAACAATGTTGATTTGGTAAAAATTCAAAGTTCAACTTTGACACCTTATAACTTCAAAACTAGTTCAAATTTCAAAATGTCGTTTTCAAAATTACATTTCTACCTTCTTTATAAATATTTTGTAAAATTTTGAAGTCATTAGATCAATTAGTTTGGAAATGGTGACGAAATAAAGGCAACAATGTAAATAATTAAAAAATCCAAGTTTAATTTTGATACCTTATAACTTCAAAAATAGTTGAAATTTCAAAATGTCGTTTTCAAAATTATATTTCTACCCTTTTTATAAATATTTTATACAATTCTGAAGTCCCTAAATCAATTAGTTTGGAAATGGTGACGAAATAAAGGCAACAATGTAAATAATTAAAAAATCCAAGTTTAACTTTGACACCTGATAACTTCAAAAATAGTTGAAATTTCAAAATGCCGTTTTCAAAATTACATTTCTACCTTCTTTATAAATATTTTGTACAATTTTGAAGTCATTAGATCAATTAGTTTGGAAATGGTGATGAAATAAAGACAACAATGTTCATTTGCTAAAAAATCAAAGTTCAACTTTGACACCTTATAACTTCAAAACTAGTTGAAATTTTAAAATGTCGTTTTCAAAATTATATTTCTACCCTTTTTATAAATATTTTTTCCAATTCTGAAGTCCTTAAATCAATTAGTTTGAAAATGGTGATGAAATAAAGACAACAATGTTCATTTGGTAAAAAATCAAAGTTTAACTTTGACACCTTATAACTTCAAAAATAGTTGAAATTTCAAAATGTCGTTTTCAAAATTATATTTCTACCCTTTTTATAAATATTTTGTACAATTCTGAAGTACCTAAATCAATTAGTTTGGAAATGGTGACGAAATAAAGGCAACAATGTAAATAATTAAAAAATCCAAGTTTAACTTTGACACCTTATAACTTCAAAAATAGTTGAAATTTCCAAATGACGTTTTCAAAATTACATTTCTACCTTCTTTATAAATATTTTGTACAATTTTGAAGTCATTAGATCAATTAGTTTGGAAATGGTGATGAAATAAAGACAACAATGTTCATTTGGTAAAAAATCAAAGTTTAACTTTGACACCTTATAACTTCAAAAATAGTTGAAATTTCAAAATGTCGTTTTCAAAATTATATTTCTACCCTTTTTATAAATATTTTGTACAATTCTGAAGTCCCTAAATCAATTAGTTTGGAAATGGTGACGAAATAAAGGCAACAATGTAAATAATTAAAAAATCAAAGTTTAACTTTGACACCTTATAACTTCAAAAATAGTTGAAATTTCAAAATGTCGTTTTCAAAATTACATTTCTACCTTCTTTATAAATATTTTGTACAATTTTGAAGTCATTAGATCAATTAGTTTGGAAATGGTGATGAAATAAAGACAACAATGTTCATTTGGTAAAAAATCAAAGTTCAACTTTGACACCTTATAACTTCAAAACTAGTTGAAATTTCAAAATGTCGTTTTCAAAATTATATTTCTACCTTCTTTATAAATATTTTGTACAATTTTGAAGTCATTAGATCAATTAGTTTGGAAATGGTGATGAAATAAAGACAACAATGTTCATTTGGTAATAAATCAAGTTCAACTTTGACACCTTATAACTTCAAAACTAGTTGAAATTTCAAAATGTCGTTTTCAAAATTACATTTCTACCTTCTTTATAAATATTTTGTCCAATTCTGAAGTTCTCTGATCAATTAGTTTGGAAATGATGATGAAATAAAATCAACAATGTTGATTTGGTAAAGGATCCAAGTTCAACTTTGACACCTTATAACTTCAAAACTAGCTGTAATTTCAAAATGTGGTCTTCAAAAATAGATTTCTATAGTTTTTATTAATATTTTTTTAAATTTTAAAGATTATAGATTAATTAGTTTAGAAACAGTTATAAAATAAAGACAACAATGTTCATTTGGTAAACAATCAAAGTTTATTGACACTTTATAACTTCAAAACTAGTTCAAATTTCAAAATGTCTTTTCAAAATTATATTTCTACCCTTTTTATAAATATTTTGTACAATTCTGAAGTCTCTAGATCAATTAGTTTGGAAATGGTGACAAAATAAAGGCAACAATGTAAATAATTAAAAAATCCAAGTTTAACTTTGACACCTTATAACTTCAAAAATAGTTGAAATTTCAAAATGTCGTTTTCAAAATTATATTTCTACCTTCTTTATAAATATTTTTTACAATTTTGAAGTCATTAGATCAATTAGTTTGGAAATGGTGATGAAATAAAGACAACAATGTTCATTTGGTAATAAATCAAGTTCCAACTTTGACACCTTATAACTCCAAAACTAGCTGAAATTTCAAAATATGGTCTTCAAAAATAGATTTCTATAATGTTTGTTAATATTTCTTTAAATTTTAAAGATTATAAATTAAGTAGTTTGGAAACAGTGACAAAATAAAGACAACAATGTTGATTTGGTGTCCATCTAACAACCCTAGTGTACTCTTGAATACATTTATTGAATTGAAAGAATTAAAATTGAACAACTTTTATTTAAACAATCGTTTCAATGCCATAAATATAAAATATAAATAATAAATCTTATAATTCCTATATATTTAATTACATTACCTGTATTTAGCTGGTCTCTTATCTATATCAGGCTTCTGAGCATTCAATTCATCCCAAACAGCTTGTTTATTAAAAAGTGCTAAATTCTTTTCAAAATCGAAATCTTTACTTATATTACTTTGTTCCATCAGAGACCCAAAACACTCTTCATCTTTCGATCCTTTCACCCATTTCCTATTATTCTTTTCTTTCTTATTAGGAGTATTAATTTTAAAAGAACTATTTGCCAAATCGTTCGTTAATTTAACGTCAATGTCGATGGGATTCGATCTTTTATGAGGTCCACTTACTTGTTTATTGGTAGTTTCAGAGGTGCTATGAGTTCTTCCAGCTCTTTTGGCGATAGGTTTTGCTATCGTTACAGTGCTTCTTATTTCTTCGAAAGGGTTCTTTGGTTTTTCTAATAATTTTATATCAACAATATTATCAACTCTAAAATAATGACTTAGTTCAAAGTAATGTAAATAAAAATTGTTATATATCGCACCTTATTTTCACTGGATCTTGTTTACATGGATAGCCACTAAAAAAAGCTTTAGTCAAAGTAATAGTTTCTGAAGTTACTGAAACTATTTCGCCTTGATAGGGGCCTATTCCCAAATCGCAATCAATAGAAACCATGTATCCAACCCACTGTGCCATTTTTATAAATATCTAGCACAGTAACCGATTTATATAAAAATATGTCTCTCTTTAACGTTAAAGTAACTATTTTATTAACAATAATACCTTTGTTTTCCGGTTAAAGAATGTAACAGCTGTTTTATTTTTTTTATTGAACGTTTTTCTGTCACAATATTATTTTAATTATTCAAGATTCAACTTGATTCGTCTTGTCTTTCTCCACAGAACTGTCAGAACTTTGACAGAATACTTACTCTTCTTTTTCCTCCACTTTTCTACTCCTTTTTTTCTCGTTAGCTCCACAGCTATTGTTTAAATAAAAACGATTGACCGAGAAGACGCAACAGCTTAGTGTATAAAAAAAAAGAAGATTTGTCCTGTCAGTCAATGAAAAAGTATCAGTGATTTATAGTACAGTAGAGTGCTTGTAAATAGACTTGAGATCATAGAGTTCCACTCTAGAGAGGACAGTAAATAGATTAATATCTCTATCTCTGTGTTTATTTTTGAAGAATTATTTGTTTTTTATGATGTTATTAAAAGAAACTTTGGTTTGTAGGAAAAAACTTGTTTTATTTTAGATATGTATGTGAATATTCAAACGCGGCATATGCAACCACAAATGCACAGAGATGTATTTCAGGCTGCCTAACAATTTCTTTAAAGGGAGGGATTATGACGAAAACGTAAGGGACGTGGATTTCCAGATTATATATGAAATTGATCGAGCTGATGGGTATAGAACCCTCTTAAATCGTATCTTTAATATTTAGAACTATTTTTGTCTTATGAATTTGTAACTTTTTTGTTTTTATCAATGTAACACGGAATCTTACGTTTTTCGAGTAATTAAAGTGTAAATTTTAAAAAATAGCTCAATATTGAACAAAATGATTAAAAAAAATTTTCAGGGTTTGTTTTTTTTCATTGCTTTGCATTTTCTGAAAATATTTACCATAGTAATGTATATATTTTTTTACACCGTCAGAAAGTGGAGATTTCAACGAACAAAAATCCCACAGACTTTTTAAAAAAAGCAGATATTTTGACGGGAGAATATTCGATTGAAAATTGGGGTGCTTTTTCGATATTAAGTCAAAATAAGGTGAACAAATAAATATTTTAAATCAAAAAAATGATAGTGTGTTCAGGACATAAAAAGATAAGTTTTCTCCAAATTTCGTGAAAAAAAAAATAATTATTTTGTAAAAGATAAAAAATCAAAAATGGGTTCTAATTAACAGTGCTGTTCCTAAAGTGGCGCAAGGAAACAGTAACAAGGCCTGTCTGTAGGGGTGTAGGAGTATTAGAGTACTAATACTTCTACACTATGGAGTATTAGACTACTAGTACAATCCATAACCTACATAGAACACTAGGCTAATGACCTTAGATGTTGAAGCCGTACACTAAAGAAAAAAAAAAAAAAAAAAAAAAAAACTTGGTTATTTGAATTTTTCACATTAATTTTGAGGTTTTGTGAAAAAAGTGTAAATACAAAAGTTGTAGATCTTTTTATTGTCTACAACTTTGCTATTTAACTTTTTTTCATAGGACTTGCAGTTTTGCTGGTATTCGAGATTTTTCGATATTAAGGTGAAAAAATAATTATTTTAAATCAAAAAAATTAGTGTTTTTGGGACATAAAATGATAGATTTTCACCAAATTTCGTAAAAAAAATTCTTTTTATAGAAGATGAAAATAAAAAACCAAAAACTTGGTTACTTGAATTTTTCACATTAATTTTGAGGTTATGCGAAAAAACTGTAAATACAAAAGTCGTAGATCTTTTTATTATCTACAACTTTGCTATTTAACTTTTTTTTATAGGACTTGCAGTTTTGCTGGTAATAGAGATTTTTCGATATTAAGGTGAAAACATTATTATTTAAAATCAAAAAAATTTGTGTTTTTGGGACATAAAAAGATAGATTTTCACCAAATTTCGTGAAAAAAAAATAATTTTTTTGTAAAAGATAAAAATAAAAAACCAAAAACTTGGTTATTTGAATGTTTCACATTAATTTTGAGGTTATGTGAAAAAAGTGTTAAAACAAAAGTTGTACATCTTTTTATTATCTACAACTTTGCTGTTTAACTTTTTTTCATAGGACTTGCAGTTTTGCTAGAAATCGAGATTTTTCGATATTAAGGTGAAAAAATTATTATTTTAAATCAAAAAAATTGCAATATATTTGGGACATAAAAAGATAGATTTTCACCAAATTTCGTGAAAAAAAATAATTTTTTTGTAAAAGATAAAAATAAAAAAACCAAAAACTTGGTTATTTGAATTTTTCACATTAATTTTGAGGTTATGTGAAAAAAGTGTAAATACAAAAGTTGTAGATCGTTTTATTATCTACAACTTTGCTATTTAACTTTTTTTCATAGGACTTGTAGTTTTGCTAGAAATCGAGATTTTTCGATATTAAGGTGAAAAAATTATTATTTTAAATCAAAAAAAATTACAGTATATTTGGGACATAAAAAGATAGATTTTCACCAAATTTCGTGAAAAAAAATATTTTTTTTGTAAAAGATAAAAATAAAAAAACCAAAAACTTGGTTATTTGAATTTTTCACATTAATTTTGAGGTTATGTGAAAAAAGTGTAAATATAAAAGTTGTAGATCTTTTTATTATCTACAGCTTTGCTATTTAACTTTTTTTCATAGGACTTGCAGTTTTGCCGGAAATAGAGATTTTTCGAAATTAAGGTGAAAAAATAATTATTATAAATAAAAAAAAAATACAGTGTGTTTGGGACATAAAAAGGTTAAGTTTTCACCAAATTTCCTGAAAAAATTTTTTTTTCTGTAGAAGATATAAATAAAAACCAAAAACTTGGTTATTTGAATTTTACACATTAATTTTGAGGTTATGTGAAAAAAGTGTAAAAACAAAAGTTGTAGATCTTTTTATTATCTACAACTTTGATATTTAACTTTTTTTCATATTACTTGTAGTTTTTCTGAAAATTGAGAAAAACCGTTTTTTACCCTCTTACCGACCTCAGATCGCTTGTAAATCACTTTTCCTTTCATTTTTGTCATTTTTTTTACCATTTTATTATATTATATTGTTAATAAAAGTCAAAAATTATTCCAACATGATTTAATATCACTCTTTGTGTCAATTACATCGGAACTCAAAACTATAAAAGAACAACTATAAAAACTAATTACGAAAACTAAGAAAACAACACAACTTGCAATCTTAATAAAAAATCCTACAACTCCATAACGACAAATAAAAATTGGCACTCATCTTCATACAGGGTAATACGAAAATCCTCAAATTCGACCATTATTTTTGAGCTTTTAAAGGCACCATTGGCTTTTATAGATGTTGAAACTACATCTGGGTATCGCCTTGTTCTTTTTCGCGCTGTCGAACCGCCACCGCGGTCTCGACCAGCAAATAGAGGCATTTGAATTTGTCTTTGTCCTCACCGTCGGCGGCTAGGGGATCCGCGTTCAGCAGGTCGTTCACGGGGTGCGCAGGCATCACTTGTACTTTCGGATTGGAGAGGGAGTGCGGCAATTGCGGTAAATGGGCCATTTGCGGATGAGTATTCCTATAGTCGTTGCTGCCGATTTTTTCATCAGGGGTTCTAAAAAAATATATAAAAAAAATTCTATTAGAAAAACAAAAAAACAAATTGATTAAAATTTTTAAAAATTATTTTTTTTTATTGTTTTTGCATTTTACATTATAAATATTATATATTAATAGTTTTCGAGTTTTTTTTTTTTGTAAAATTTAGGTTAGAAACTTGTATACAAATAAAGAAAGTTAAGAATCATTTTTTATTCGAAAAAGTTGGAAAAAAGTGTAAAATTCTAATTTTTAAGAAAATTCTTTTAATAAAAGTTGTTCGCGATGTAATTCTGTATAATTTTTGTCTTTTACAAGATTTCTCTAAAATGTACCGTATTCGAGATATTTTAGAAAAAGTGAAAATTTCGAATTTTGGAAATAACTCAAAAACGGATAAAAAGAAAAACACCAAATTTTATATTTAAGCTTTAATCCATCCTACAGTGTACTGATTAAAATTTGGGCATAGTCGGAACATCTATGGAGGTACTTTATAGGGGGTCGTTTTTCTATTTTAAAGAATATATCTGTCATTAACGTTTGAAAAAGAAAATTCTTCAAATAAAAGTTGTTTGTGATATTATTCTCTATAATTTTTATTATATACAAAATTTTTCTAAAATGGTCCGTATTCGAAAAATTTGACAAAAAGTGTAAAATTCAATTTTTTTTGAAAAAAAAAAAATTGTTCAAAACTTGTTTCTTTATAATTTTAATTCTATATAAAATTTCTCTGAAATGGAACATTTTTCAGTATTTATTGGTCTCAACTTATACAAGTTATTTAACCAACATTAATATTAGTTATATGTAAATATATATAAAATTTAAAACACTATTTGGTTCTGTAAAATTAAAAAAAAAAGAAAAGATGAACATATTTTTTATAAATAAATTTCAGATTTTAAAAATGACGTGATTATTTTAGTTTGCATTAAATAGGTTGTTTTCAAAAAAATTTCAAAAAAAAAATTCCAAAAAAAAAACAAATTTTATATTTTGAAAAAAATTTAAAAAAAAATTCAAAAAAAAAAAAAAATCCAAGAAAAATTTTTTGAAAAAATTTTAAAAAATTCAAATTTTAAAATTTTTCGAAAAAATTTTCAAAAAAATTTCAAAAAAAAAATTAAAAAAAACTGAAATTTTATATTTTGAAAAAAATTCCAAAAAAAAAATCCAAGAAAAATTTTTCGAAAATTTTTTTATAGATTTTAATAGACTTTTTAACTTTCTATATATTTTTTTGCGATTTTTATAAAGATTTTTAGTTTTTTATGAATTTTTATAGTTTTTTATTTTTATAGTTTTACCTTTTCATAGATTTTTCGATTTTTTTTAGATTTCTCTAGGTTTTTATAGAGATTTTTATGGATTTTTATAAATTTTAATAGACTTTTTAAAGATTTTATAGATATTTTGAGATTTTTATAGATTTTTTTTTGAGATTTTTATAGAACTTTTTAAAGATTTAAAGAAAATTTCAAAAAAAAATAATTAAAAAAAACTGAAATTTTATATTTTGAAAAAAAATTCCATAAAATAAAAAAAAATCCAAGAAAAATTTTTCGAAAAAATTTTAAAAAATTCAAATTTTAAAATTTTTCGAAAAAATTTTCAAAAAAAAAATTAAAAAAAACTGAAATTTTATATTTTGAAAAAAAATAAAAAAAAAAATCCAAAAAAAAAAAAAAAAATCCAAGAAAAATGTTTGGAAAAAATTTTAATTTTAAAATTTTTCGAAAAAATTTTCAAAAAAATTAAAAAAAACTGAAATTTTATATTTTGAAAAAAATAAAAAAAAAAAATAAAAAAAAATCCAAGAAAAATTTTTCGAAAAAATTTTAAAAAATTTAAATTTTAAAATTTTTCGAAATATTTTCAAAAAATCATGTATAGGACAAAAATTATAGAGAATGACATTATAAACAACTTTTATTAAAAGAATTTTATTAAAAATTAGAATTTTACACTTTTTATCAATTTTCTTGAATACGGTCCATTTTAAGAAAATTTTATATAGAACAAAAATTATAGATAATGATATTATAAGCAACTTTTATTTAAAGAATTTTCTTATACAAGCATAAATAACAGATATATTCCATAAAATAGAAAAACAACCCCCTATAAAGTACCCCCCCAGATGTTCCAACCATGCCCAAAATTGATATGCTCACTGCAGGATGCATTAAAGGTTAAATTTGAAATTTCATCTTTTTCTCTTTATCCATTTTTGAGTTATTTTAAAAATTCAAAAATTTTCATATTTTTTTTTTAAATTTCCTTTTTTAGTGAAACTATCCTGAAATCGATTATAGCGAAATAATTATTAGTACAATATTTTAAAAATACTTTTCATCATCCCATGTTTTCATTTTTTCCCAAATAACCACAACTTGCAGGATCTTTTCACACCATGATTTAATCAAATCAATTTTTCTAATAATTAAATACACCCTATACATCATTTTATTTATCTACAGTCAAAATTTATTACCAAATAATTTAATTTCAAAATAAAAAAAATCTTACCCTCTATTTGCTGGATGACTGGGATCTTTTTGCACTCCATATCTGATAACAGTCTGCCATGGGGTAAATTTCTCTTCTTCACTAGGACTAGAACTTTCATATTCATTGGGACTGTCTTCTTCAGAACGATACATCAAAGTCATGCTATCTTCATAGTCATGGTCCAGTCTAATCCTCTTCCCTCTTATAGTTTGCAAGTCCCCATTCCAATTCACAGTAGGCTGATCCACCATACCATTAACACTGCTTAGTTTTTTTCCTCTTCTTGATATGGTGTAATGCAGAGGATCATGACCCTCTCTTCGAATCATTTCAGGTAAAATTCTTCTTCTGGCATTTATAAACCAATTGCAAACTTGCAGCACAGTCAAATTAGCTTCTTGGGAAAGAGTTAGTTTCTCAGCATCACTTGGATAAGCATTGTAGCGATGTTCATAGAGCCATCTCTTCAAAATTTTCACAGAATGCTTGGGTAGGTTGCCCCTACGCTTGCGTACAGGCGTACCAATATTATGATTAACCATATTGGCCAAATGGTTTTGGGAAATAAGCACTTCATGTTCTTGTTCAGAACCAGATTCATTTTCATCAGTACTGCTGCCTGATTGAAACCTCTCTCGATCTGTAAAATAATTCAATGGGTCCATTTGTGATTTTGGAAATTTTATTTTATCACAAAAGAGAAATAAATAACATTTTCATGACAACCTGAAACATGTGAAGTTACTGACATGCAGTTAAGGTTGACAATATCTTTGCCAACTTTGGCATTTCATTTATTTCTTTATTTATAAATAGTTAACAAATTAATAGTAAAAATTATATTTTTATTATTTTTTTTTATCATTTATTCATTCATTATTAGTAATAACTACCGCGAAATAAAAAATAACCCCTATTAACTTTTTAAAGTTTTAAAATCAAAAGCACGTTTATTATGACAGTAAATGACACATGACAGGAATGGCTACCTCGTGGTGTCTACCGCTAAAATATCAACAAACAATAAATTACAATTTTTTACAAGAAAACTAACTTACAACTCATCAAATATTAAAAGGATATACTTAATATTACACTAAAAATATTAATAATATTAGAATTGTAATATAAACAATACTTACGAACTTTCATCTTCATAGCTGTCAGATCAAGCTAACTTAAATATTTACGTAATCGTAGACGTACTATTTAAAATTTATAGAAAAATTAACTCCTATGTTAAAATTCCTTTAACTGGCATTACCATAATCAACGTTTCTTAAAGTGTTTTCATCCAACTTTTCATTCTTCAAACACAACAATGTCAGTAATTTTTCACTAATTTTACACTTAAAACACGAAAATAGTTTACACTTAAACGAATTCTAAATAACTAATTAAACAATTACATTCGAAAAATTAAGATATTAGCTTGCATCTACGAAAATTTCACTTTTTAAAACAAAAATGATTGTCACGCGTGCTATAACTTGACAGTTTAGATGGCGGTCTAAATAGATGGAGTCACTGCGCATGGTTTGTAGTTGTTATTCAATTTGATATTTTTCATTGGTCGATTTTTGACAATCATGGCTGTTCTCAAACTTCCGCTCGATTGCCGCTTAAATTCAATAATTTAAAATAATATAAACGCGAACGTTTAATCGTTGTTCTGATCAATTTATTTAATGTTTATAATGTTAATGTTAACTAATAATTGGACATTCTAACCACTGAACGGTCAAAATGCTGATTAGTGGGAACTCACAGTTTAGATATGGCAACCATGTGCTCTCTGTCATTGACAGTATCAATGATATATAGTTTTATAGATTGCTCGAAGCGGGTCGTTCTGCAAACGGCCATATTGCTTGGCAAGTGTTCATTAATTTGAATTTGTTTAACAAAAATGTGTTTTAGCACCGATTCCGATTTCACCGTTGTGTTAAACGGAGTTTAAAATTACATTTTTACATTAACAATGTCATTTTAATTTCCGTTTAACACAACGGTGAAATCGGCCATATGCAAGAAACAACTTCTATTTATTATTAAAACATTGATGATCAATCTATATAACTCTGTACATTGACCACCTGTCACATCAACAGGCGCACAGTGTTGCCATATTATAACCTTTCATTTGACTGTAAGTAGCCTGTAATTACCTACGGGCAACCATTTCATTGTTTAATAATTATATTTTATATAATTATTATAGAAAAAACGTTTTCATTATTTAATTTGATTCAATAATTTTCAAACGAACCGCCACCGAAGAGTTACTTTTTTTTTTAATCGGTGACAGTGTGCAATGCGCATCACTACCTGTCAGCAATGCTTGTCAGACTGGCATTTGTGTGCGCATAGTACCGGTTTTTCATTTTGTAGTTTTTAATAAGGTGTTTATTTTTAATATAACATATTTGACTCGAATGTGGCATAATTTAAGCGATTTTTTCCCATTAAATACATTTATAAGTATTCACTCGTATTTGACAACTTGAAAAAAACATAAAAAAGGTAAGAACACTTTTCTTTGTTACTGCAAAATGGTTTACTCAAACACGTGGACCGATCTTGTCGAATCGAGTCATGTTACTAGTTTAAAAAGATTTTGAACATATTTTCCTAGCTTAATATAACGTATATTTAATTGAAATACTCGATGTTTCCGTAAATTGAGGAAAAAACAACATGCAACATCAATTTTCAAAAGCGTATTTGATAGAAAATTCTATTGTGGAATTGAATATGTTAATACATATTTTTTCGAGATAATTGAAATTATTTTCCTATTTAGATGAAAAATAGTCAAAATTACAAGTAGATTTGGATGTTTTTTGAATTAAAATTTATGGAATTTAGGTAGATAGGTATGAGTAACGTAAAAGTTTATTTTTAATTGTTGCTATATAAAAGTATTTAGATGTAACTATTTAATGCCTCTTAAGGACTTCTCTTACGAACCCTTTGACATATATTTAATTAATTAGTTATACAAATAAAGAACAGTACAGTAATTTACTACTGAGATAAGGAGAAGAAGAATTTGTAAATATTTTATAAATTAGAGTCTGTAATTAATGTTTATATTCTTGGAAATGTACAAGGCAATGTTTTTAGCCATTTTTATGAACAAATTCGTTTAATTCCAGGAAAATCATGAGTTCAGGCAACATTTGTTACAAATGTAACCAACCAGGGCATTTTGCTAGGGAATGCTCGCAGCCAGGAGGCAGGGACTCCGGCCGGGGTTCTTTCAGCCGAAATCGCGACAAATGTCACAAATGCAACAAAATAGGCCATTACGCGCGCGATTGTAAGGAGGAATCGGCCCGCTGCTATCGCTGCTACGGCGAGGGTCACTTCGCGAAGGATTGTTTGCAGAGTCCTGATATGCCGTCCTGCTACAATTGTAGGAAGCCCGGTCATATTGCGCGTAGCTGTCCAGAAGCTGGTGGGGATAGATCCAGTGGAGAAACTTGCCACAATTGTCAACGCCCGGGTCATATTTCCAGGAATTGTCCAGAAGGCACCAAAACTTGCTATTTGTGTCACAAGCCAGGGCATCTGAAGAGAGATTGCAGAGAAAATGACTACAGAAAGTAGTAATGTTTATTTTTTTGTTGTATCTATTTTATATATATTTAAAACATTTGAAAATGTCTGTTTTCCTTCAAAACATTGTTGAAACTAATGTTTCTTATTTACTTTTTTATATTAGTGGTATTAGCTCAGTTCTCATTTGTCCAATTTCCAAAGTGATATTAAGAGGGATGTACTTATTTATTATTTATGAAATGTTCAAGTCCTAGGGATAAAAGACAAAAATATTCTACGAATTCGGTGGAAATTAGACTTATAAGAATGTCAAGAGGCAAATATTGTACATGCAGTCCATTCTAATTTAAAAAGTGTAGATCTCTTTGGAAGAACACATGTCAGATTCGAGTTTATTCTTATTTCACAATACATGACGATTGTAACTTAAAAATGGGGAAATATAATTTTTATTAATAAAAAGAGGTTGGTGATTATTTTCGTTTTATTATTTAAAACCTATCTATTCAGTTAATTCCTTAAATTGACCATCTTTTAAAATGTTTACAGTGGCGTAACCAGCCATTTTTTATGAGAGGGGTTTTGGAGAACTATGGGGGAGGTTCCATCAATAAAGTGAATTAAAACAGTCAATAGCGATTAGAGGAAATGTGGGGGTGGTTCTGATCCCAAACCTCCCCCGTGGCTACGCCACTGAGTATTTATTTACTTTATATTCTTTTATACAGTGTGATAATTTAAAAACTTACAATGGGCTATATCTTGCAAACAAAACATGATATAAGGAAGTTTCAAACAGTTTTTAGGATAGGAAGGGGGACTAAAATGATATAAAAGAAAACTAACCCCCTATGCCCCACCTACTCTAACTAAAAAAGATTAAACAGCAAACCCATACTTTTCAGAAATGTCACACTGGCATCTTTAAATAATCATTGTCTTAGAACCAATGAAGAAAAATATTTCTTACTTACAGAAACGTTTAAAAACTGTTGTCAAAATAACTTTTTGAAAACGGCATTTCAAAATATTTACTGATTTTAAAATGGCGAGGTGATAAAGTCAAATTATGTGTTTCTATAGATGCCACACTGCCATCTTTAAATAATCACTGTCTTAGAACCAATAAAGAAAAAGACTTGATACTTCTAAAAACCTTTAAAAACTGTTGTCAAAATAATTTTTTGAAAACGACGTTTCAAAATATTTACTGATTTTAAAATGGCGAGGTGATAAAGTCAAATTATGTGTTTCTATAGATGCCACACTGCCATCTTTAAATAATCACTGTCTTAGAACCAATAAAGAAAAAGACTTGATACTTCTAAAAACCTTTAAAAACTGTTGTCAAAATAATTTTTTGAAAACGACGTTTCAAAATATTTACTGATTTTAAAATGGCGAGGTGATAAAGTCAAATTATGTGTTTCTATAGATGCCACACTGTCATCTTTAAATAATCACTGTCTTAGAACCAATAAAGAAAAACACTTGATACTTTTAGAAACGTTTAAAAACTGTTGTCAAAATAATTTTTTGAAAACGGCATTTCAAAATATTTACCGATTTTAAAATGGCGAGGTGATAAAGTCAAATTATGTGTTTCTATAGATGCCACACTGCCATCTTTAAATAATCACTGTCTTAGAACCAATAAAGAAAAAGACTTGATACTTTTAGAAACGTTTAAAAACTGTTGTCAAAATAATTTTTTGAAAACGGCATTTCAAAATACTTACTGATTTTAAAATGGCGAGGTGATAAAGTCAAATTATGTGTTTCTATAGATGCCACACTGTCATCTTTAAATAATCACTGTCTTAGAACCAATAAAGAAAAACACTTGATACTTTTAGAAACGTTTAAAAACTGTTGTCAAAATAATTTTTTGAAAACGGCATTTCAAAATACTTACTGATTTTAAAATGGCGAGGTGATAAAGTCAAATTATGTGTTTCTATAGATGCCACACTGCCATCTTTAAATAATCACTGTCTTAGAACCAATAAAGAAAAAGACTTGATACTTTTAGAAACGTTTAAAAACTGTTGTCAAAATAATTTTTTGAAAACGGCGTTTCAAAATATTTACTGATTTTAAAATGGCGAGGTGATAAAGTCAAATTATGTGTTTCTATAGATGCCACACTGCCATCTTTAAATAATCACTGTCTTAGAACCAATAAAGAAAAAGACTTGATACTTTTAGAAACGTTTAAAAACTGTTGTCAAAATAATTTTTTGAAAACGGCGTTTCAAAATATTTACTGATTTTAAAATGGCGAGGTGATAAAGTCAAATTATGTGTTTCTATAGATGCCACACTGCCATCTTTAAATAATCACTGTCTTAGAACCAATAAAGAAAAAGACTTGATACTTTTAGAAACGTTTAAAAACTGTTGTCAAAATAATTTTTTGAAAACGGCGTTTCAAAATATTTACTGATTTTAAAATGGCGAGGTGATAAAGTCAAATTATGTGTTTCTATAGATGCCACACTGCCATCTTTAAATAATCACTGTCTTAGAACCAATAAAGAAAAAGACTTGATACTTTTAGAAACGTTTAAAAACTGTTGTCAAAATAATTTTTTGAAAACGGCATTTCAAAATATTTACTAATTTTAAAATGACCATCTGATGAAGTCACATTATGGTGTTTCTATAGATGTCGCACTGTCATCTTTAAATAATCACTGTCCTAAAACCAAAGAAGAAAAACATTTCACACTTTCAAAAACGTTTAAAAACTGTTGTCAAAGTATTTGTTTAAGAACAGCAATCCAAAATATTTACTGATTTTAAAATGGCAAGCTGATAAAGTCAAATTATGTGTTTCTATAGATGCCACACTGTCATCTTTAAATAATCACTGTCCTAAAACCAATGAAGAAAAACATTTCACACTTTCAAAAACGTTTAAAAACTGTTGTCAAAGTATTTGTTTAAGAACAGCAGTCCAAAATATTTACTGATATTAAAATGGCAAGCTGATAAAGTCAAATTATGTGTTTCTATAGATGCCACACTGTCATCTTTAAATAATCACTGTCCTAAAACCAATGAAGAAAAACATTTCACACTTTCAAAAACGTTTAAAAACTGTTGTCAAAGTATTTGTTTAAGAACAGCAGTCCAAAATATTTACTGATATTAAAATGGCAAGCTGATAAAGTCAAATTATGTGTTTCTATAGATGCCACACTGTCATCTTTAAATAATCACTGTCCTAAAACCAATGAAGAAAAACATTTGATACTTTTGAAAACGTTTAAAAACTATTGTCAAAATGTTTTATTGAAAACAAAAATTTACCAATGGCGAAATTGTAGAATTATTGAGTGTTTGCAAAAAATATTTTGACATATCACCAAAAGTTATAACCACTTATGGAATAAAATTCTTTATGTCATTATTTTAGAAAATTATAAAAAATGCCGAGACATGTCAACTTTTGAATTGAGTTGTGCGTTATGTAAACATAAATTTAAATGTACAGGGTGATTCACGCAAGTATGCCATAGTCGGTGTTTTTTTTTTTTTAATGAAACACCCTGTATATTTGCATACATACATTATTCAGTTTGTTGGAATCGGTTCATTAAGAGGATTTCAAAAATATGCAAATATACAGGGTGTTTCATTAAAAAAAAACAACACCGACTATGGCATACTTACGTGAATCACCCTGTACATTTAAATTTATGTTTACATAACGCACAACTCAATTCAAAAGTTGACGTGTCTCGGCATTTTTTACAATTTTCTAAAATAATGACAAAGAATTTTATTCCATAAGTTGTTTCCACACTGTATATTCTATATACATAAAAACAATCTAGCTTTTCAGTTTGATTCCGTGGATCTCGAAAACTGGTCATAATATTCAATTTAAAATTCATACCTCTTAAAACAGTGTTAAAATTTTTAGAACACAGGGTGTTCATAGTTTTTGAACTTTTATTAAAATGGAATATCTTGCATACAATTTTTGAAGCTTAGAGGTAAAAAAATCGATTCATAAGTACAGGGTTTTACTATACATTTGATGTATAATAGCAAATGCAGCACAGACATTGAAAATGTTGAACAAAACAGAGAAATTTTGTACATAAGATATTTTTTTGTTATAAATAGGTTTAACATTCTTAGAATAACTTTGCTACCATTTAAACAAATGCTAGAATTTATTTAGTGCATTTTTTAATCAAGTTTATCTGTTTTAATAGTGTAATAATAAATAAATTCTTATGTAGAGAAAACAGTAGTTTAAAAAAGATCCAATTATTCCAATTCTTATTAAATAAAAACACCAATGATGAGAAATAATGAATTTTATTATAAACACATACTGTAGTACTTAAAAATAGTAATTTAAATACAAAAATTAATGTCGTTTGCTTCGCTTTTTTGTCTTCTTTGGCCCCTTTACAAAGCACCAATCTACACCAACAGTTTGACCCAACAAGGATGATCCATTAAGTGCTTCTCTAGCAACCGAAGCTTCTCCATAACTTCCGTATTCTATTAAAGCATATCCTTTCAGAAAACCTGTACGACGATCTAAATTGATGCTGATATTCTTAATTGTTCCATATTCGGAAAACTTCTTGCTCAAATCTTCTTCCGTAGCTTCCTCGTGTACGGAAGTAACGAACAGTATCCAGCCTTCCACTGATTTTTGCGGGCCAGGTTCATCTCCATGATCTCGATCTCCTGCTTCTATAGATTCGTAGCCTCTTATTTTTTCGTGTTGTCTTCCTTCACCGGGACCGAAACCACGGCCTTTGCGGCTGACAACTTTGTCTTTTAATCTAAGAACGCTCTGTTCACCTTCATCTTCTACATCAATGTCCACTGCATCGTTAATATCTAATACATCTGCCATATTCTCCAATAATACTAATGATAGAATATTTATTTCAAAATGAATCGAAAATCAAGCTATTTTTTAAAGTGACATTAGTGACAAGGGCCATAAATGACAACAACAAGCTGTCAACTGTCAATATAAAAATGACACAGGACCAATGATGTAGAGTAGAGTAGAATGCTAATAATGTATTTTTGAAAAAACTAGTTGAATTTTCAAAAATAGATTTCTATAGTTCTTGTTAATATTTTTACAAATTTTAAAGATTGTAGATTAATTAGTTTGGAAACGGCGATCAAATAAAGACAATGTAGATTTGGTAAAATATCTAAGTTTAACTTTGACACCTTATAACTTCAAAACTAGTTGAAATTTCAAAATGTGGTCTTAAAACATAGATTTCTATAGTTTTTGTTAATATTTCTTTAAATTTTAAAGATTATAGATTAATTAGTTTGGAAACAGTAATAAAATAAAGACAACAATGTTTATTTGGTAAAAAATCAAAGTTTAATTTTGACACCTTATAACTTCAAAATTAGTTGAAATTTCAAAATGTGGTCTTCAAAAATAGATTTCTATAGTTTTTCTTAATATTTTTATAAATTTTAAAGATTATAGGATAATTAGTTTAGAAACAGTGATAAAATAAAGACAACAATGTTCATTTGGTAAAAAATCAAAGTTTAACTTTGACACCTTATAACTTCAAAACTAGTTAAAATTTCAAAATATGGTCTTCAAAAATAGATTTCTATAGTTTTTGTTAATATTTCTTTAAATTTTAAAGATTATAGATTAATTAGTTTGGAAACAGTAATAAAATAAAGACAACAATGTTCATTTGGTAAAAAATCAAAGTTTAACTTTGACACCTTATAACTTCAAAACCAGTTAAAATTTCAAAATATGGTCTTCAAAAATAGATTTCTATAGTTTTTGTTAATATTTTTATAAATTTAAAAGATTATAGAATAATTAGTTTAAAAACAGTGATAAAATAAAGACAACAATGTCCATTTGGTAAAAAATCAAAGTTTAACTTTGACACCTTATAACTTCAAAACTAGTTAAAATTTCAAAATATGGTCTTCAAAAATAGATTTCTATAGTTTTTGTTATTATTTCTTTAAATTTTAAAGATTATAGATTAATTAGTTTGGAAACAGTAATAAAATAAAGACAACAATGTTCATTTGGTAAAAAATCAAAGTTTAACTTTGACACCTTATAACTTCAAAACCAGTTAAAATTTCAAAATATGGTCTTCAAAAATAGATTTCTATAGTTTTTGTTAATATTTTTATAAATTTGAAAGATTATAGAATAATTAGTTTAAAAACAGTGATAAAATAAAGACAACAATGTCCATTTGGTAAAAAATTAAAGTTTAACTTTGACACCTTATAACTTCAAAACTAGTTGACATTTCAAAATGTGGTCTTTAAAAATAGATTTCTATAGTTTTTGTTAATATTTCTTTAAATTTTAAAGATTATAGATTAATTAGTTTGGAAACAGTAATAAAATAAAGACAACAATGTTCATTTGGTAAAAAATCAAAGTTTAACTTTGACACCTTATAACTTCAAAACCAGTTAAAATTTCAAAATATGGTCTTCAAAAATAGATTTCTATAGTTTTTGTTAATATTTTTATAAATTTGAAAGATTATAGAATAATTAGTTTAAAAACAGTGATAAAATATAGACAACAATGTCCATTTGGTAAAAAATTAAAGTTTAACTTTGACACCTTATAACTTCAAAACTAGTTGACATTTCAAAATGTGGTCTTTAAAAATAGATTTGTATAGTTTTTGTTAATATTTCTTTAAATTTTAAAGATTATAGATTAATTAGTTTGGAAACAGTAATAAAATAAAGACAACAATGTTCATTTGGTAAAAAATCAAAGTTTAACTTTGACACCTTATAACTTCAAAACTAGTTGAAATTTTAAAATGTGGTCTTCAAAAATAGATTTCTATAGTTCTTGTTTTTTTATTTAAATTAAAGTGTCTCGGCATCAGGGGCCATTGATACAGGTACAATTATATTACAAGAGTTTTTACAAAATATATACACTACCTATAGACAAAAGAAAAACCTAATTCACAACATCGTTCGTTGTCTCTTGAGTTGCAGTTTATTCTTTTTCAAGTGTTTGGTTATTAAAAAAAATATTTATCAAAAATGTCAGACAGAAATGAGAACATGGTTTATTTTGTAGTGAAACCAAAAAGCGAAAAATACCACAGCTAAAAATTAACTTTACTTTGCAACTTGCAACAAAAACCACGAGACGAGAGATCAAATTTGATTTAAAATAAAAGTTTTCGTTTGTTATTTTAATGAAAACCGGATACGGGAAACACAAACAAATCCATAGCCGTTCTTTTATTCCACATAAGCTCGATCATCACGTGACTAAAATAACTACTAGCTCTACTCCGCTTACGGCCATATGCACCATTCTTCTGTTAATAGTTATCAGAGAGTTAACTACATAACTGACTGTTAAATTGACAATTTTGTATTCACCATTACAACATACGACTAACAATCTGTTAAAGGCGTTGTTAATTAACAAACCAAATTTGGCCTGTTAATTTTACTTATCAGACTATTTTAATTTTACTTGTTTATTTTGAAGGGCTATATAAGGTTTTATAGGATATTGACAGTAATATGTACGCAACAGACTTATTTCTTACTGAAACTAGTAAATAGATGGTGCATAGCAAATTCTGTTAACACACTGTTATTTTTTATACTACTGTTAGATAACAGAGGACTTAGCTGGACAATGGTGCATATGGCCGTTAGTGAGGTACTTTTCAAACCATCGCGATTCCAAGATCGTTTAGGATTCCTCCTTCCTGACTGTATATATTCTAAGGTTCTGACAGTTGACTTGACAGGGTCAATGATATTATAGTTGTATAGATTGCTCAAAGAGAGTCGCATTACGTCTTTTTATCTAACTATTGCAACAACGTTGGCATCGGTAATATAGGTATCTACCTGCCTTTTTTTCTATATTTTAGAAGTAGTGGACAACGTTTGGTAAGGAAAATCAAAACAAAAAACATTATTTATCGGATATTTATTTATCTGAACTACTTAACAATAAAATTAACTCTGTAAATAGAAAAAATACTTTTATTTCTTGAGAAACATATTCCTAAAATCCGCATTACTTTTGAGACCCGCGGAATTTCCATCATTCTTCTGTTTATCAGGAATACTTTTGACTTGTAACGTCCTCGGAACCATCAAAGGCACTTGCAATCTGCTTCTAGCATGCCGAATCGGCTCATTTTGTTGCTCTTCGTTATCGCCGATTCTCTTTTGTGGCGGTGCGCTTATCGATACCGACAGCTCGCAATCGTCGATCTTCGTAGAATCCAATTCCAAAGCCTTTCGGGCCTCCTCTTTGGTGTTGAATTCGACGAAAGCGATGCCCTTGGATTGGCCGTTTTTTTTAAACACCATTCTTATGTCTAGCGGGTTGTAGGGTTTGAAGATTTTCTCGATTTCTTCCTTTGTTTTGGTTAAAGGGAGGAATTTTACGAAGAGTTTGTTTTCTTCAATCGTCGTGGAATATTTGAATTCTTTTTTTTTATCTCCTTTTTCGGATTTGAGTTCTGAAATAAAAACTGGTCGACCATCGATGGGGGTTCTGTCTCTGGATAGTGCTGTCATAGCTTCTTCTTCTTTGGAAAACTGGATGTATCCAAAACAACGCGATTTCCCTTTTCTATCGAAAACTATGCTGATATTAGTGGCGTTACTGAAAAGTTCTTTTAAATCTTTTTCTGTAACTTTAGGATGTAAATTACTGACAAACACTGTAGTTTTGGGATCTTTTTCAATGATTTTAGGAGTAGTATCTATTTTTCTTTCATTATCTCGCGATACTTTCAATTTTTTAAAATTAAAATCCTCGTTATCGTCTTGTTTCCGTTTTTGATTCCGTATTGGTTTTTCTCTTTTATCGCTGAACGATTCATTGTTGAAATTAGTTCCTTGCGGGATACTTTTAATTATTTCTTTACACCTACTTTCGCATTTCATAACGTTTTCTAACGAACCAACTTCTCTTTCAAACATCATCCATTCCTCAGCGATGTATCGCGCCCAATCTTTGCAAGAAGTTAAAGCTTGTTTGTAAATGTTTCTAACTTGATTTATTTCCCCATATTGTCTTTCTAAATTCGCGTATTCTAACCAAGCATTGGCGGAACCTAAAGATAATTAATATCAAAAAGAAAATAATAATAATAATTTTATTTTCTAACCTTTAATAATTGGATTAGAAATAATATATTTCCAAATTTTTCTGGATTGTGAAATATCTCCGTTTTTAGCTATTAAGCGAGCGTACCAGCGTCTTAATTTAAAAGTTTGATCGTGATCTGGTTCAATTTGTTGCAAAGCTTTGTGAAATAGTTTGTCTATTTTTGATTTGTCTTTAGAGTTTCTATGATAATATTCCAAAAAGCAGAACCAAAAATTCAAAGGTGGTAAGTTAAGGCTGGTTAAACCTAAAAACGAAATTAAATAAAAAATCTGATGATAAAAATTTGAATCTTTTACATTTTGTTAAATTTCTCGAATACCGGCCATTTTGGGAAAATTTTGTATAGGATGAAAATTGTAGAGAATAATATTAGAAGTAACTTTTATTTAAAGAATTTTCTTCTCCAAACGTTAATAACAAATTTATTCCATAAAATATAAAAATTACCCCCTATAAAGTACCCCCCCAGAAGTTCCGACTCTGCCTAAAATGTAATCAGTTCACCGTAGACTGGAATAAAGCTTAAGTTTAAAATTTGGTGTTTTTCTCTTTATCGGTTTTTGAGTTTTCTTCAAAATTCTAAATTTACATATTTTCTGAAATATCTCGAATACGGTCCATTTTAGGAAAATTTTGTATAAAACAAAAATTATAGAGAATATTATAAGAAGTAATTTTTATGTGAAGAATTTTCTTCTCCAAGCGTAAATAATAGATATATTCTATAAAATATAAAAAATACTCCCTATAAAGTACCCCCCTAGAAGTTCCCCCTCTGCCTAAAATTTAATCAGCTCACCGCACACTGGAATAAAGCTCAAGTTTAAAATTTGGTGTTTTTCTCTTTATCGGTTTTTGAGTTTTCTTCAAAATTCGAAATTTACATATTTTCTGAAATATCTCGAATACGGTCCATTTTAGGAAAATTTTACATAAGATAAAAATTATAGAGAATAATATTAGGAGTAACTTTTATTGGAAAAAATTTCTTCTCCAAGCGTAAATAATAGATATATTCCATAAAATATAAAAACGACCCTCTATAAAAGTACCCCCCAGATGTTCCGACTTTGTCCATTATCTAATCAGCTCACCGCAAACCAAAATAAAGTTTATTTCCTTATCTGTATACAGACATGAAAGTAAAAAGGATATTGAACAATATCTTGGACATAGAGATATAAAGACTTATTAAAAATCTATTTAGAACTACCCTTTGTGGTATCTATGCACCTTAAACTGTAGACTGCACAGTAAACTATAAAATACAAAAATTATCCATAAAAATCGAAGAATGAACTAAATAAAAAATGAATTGTTCCACCCACTACCTCAAAAACAGAAGATTTGTAAGAATAGATGAAACCTGATGACAAAATCCCAAACTATTTACTTATTTTTTAATTAAAAAGATTATAAATTTGCACATACCTTCTTCAAAACAATTAACAATGTCATTCTCTTCTTTTTTATAATTTTCCAAAGCCCTTAACCTAGCAATCCACAATTCTTCACTCCAAGGACAGTTTCTTAAAGCTTTCTTTGTAACCTTTAACACTGCTTCCTCCATTTTAAATGAAAAGTTAATATAATCTTCCCATAAGTTAGGAGATAAACACAAATCAACCACAGCTCGTTCATATAGACAAAGAACAGTTAATGGATCTTTGACTATTTTTATGTACTCCTTATATATGGTGAATAATTCTGTTTCTTCTGCAGATAAAAGTTGATCCTCGAATGGTTTATAGCTTTCCAACACCTGCAAGGCTTTTTTGTATCCCCAATCAACATATTTTGAATCTATTAAACCATCTGGTAATGTCTTAAACCATTCTGTCCATTCTTCATAAGTATTTTCCATATTTAACAGTGGTACAGACAGTTGTCTTTTAAAAACTTCTGCCACTCTTTTGACTTGATTAATCCAATCATTAGAATCTTTTTCATGAAAGGAAATATGAGCATTTTCGATTTCTCGAAGGTTGTCCCAAAGGAGGGATCCTTTGCTGACATGCAGACCAGCAGATGTTAAACCTTTTTCTAAGATGACACGTGTCGTTTCTAAATTAGTCACCCCAATTGAATACTGAACATATTCTAACCAAACATCTACAGCTAAAAAATATGATTAGACAACTATATGATATAGTATTTCAGTGTTTTTGTTGATATAAAGTTTAAAAAATTAATGAGTGGACTTCAAAGCAATGTTCAACATTTTATTGGCAAATATTGACTATTATAAACAGTTAAATAATGTTTGAATTGCTTATATTTTTAGATGTAACATTGTTATATAAAAGTATCTTTTTATTATTAATATTTCAGTGTTTTTGTTGGTAGAGAATGTTTAAAAAATTAATGAGTAGACTTCAAGGCAATGTTTAACATTTTATTGGCAAATATTGACTATTAGTAACAGTTAAATAATGTTTGATTTGCTTACATTTTTAGATGTAACTTTGTTATATAAAAGTATCTTTTTATTATTAGTATTTCAATGTTTTTGTTGATACAGAATGTTTAAAAAATTAATGAGTAGACTTCAAAGCAATGTTCAGCATTTTATTGGCAAATATTGACTATCATAAGCAGTTAAATAATGTTTGATTAATTGATTTGATATATTTTTAGATATAACATGGTTATTTATATAAAAGAATCTTTTTATTAATATTTCAGTGTTTTTGTTGGTACATAATGTTTAAAAAATTAATGCGTAGACTTCAAAGCAATTTTCAGCATTTTATTGGCAAATATTGACTATTATAAACAGTTAAATAATGTTTGAATTGCTTATATTTTTAGATGTAACATTGTTATATAAAAGTATCTTTTTATTATTAATATTTCAGTGTTTTTGTTGGTACAGAATGTTTAAAAAATTAATGAGTGGACTTCAAGCAATGTTCAGCATTTTATTGGCAAATATTAACTATTATAGACAGTTAAATAATGTTTGAATTGCTTATATTTTTAGATGTAACATTGTTATATAAAAGTATCTTTTTATTATTAATATTTCAGTGTTTTTGTTGATACAGAATGTTTAAAAAATTAATGAGTAGACTTCAAAGCAATGTTCAGCATTTTATTGGCAAATATTGACTATCATAAGCAGTTAAATAATGTTTGATTAATTAATTTGCTATATTTTTAGATGTAACATGGTTATTTATATAAAATAATCTTTTTATTATTAATATTTCAGTGTTTTTGTTGGTACAGAATGTTTAAAAAATTAATGAGTGGACTTCAAAGCAATGTTCAACATTTTATTGGCAAATATTGACTATCATAAGCAGTTAAATAATGTTTGATTAATTAATTTGCTATATTTTTAGATGTAACATGGTTATTTATATAAAATTATCTTTTTATTATTAATATTTCAGTGTTTTTGTTGATACAGAATGTTTAAAAAATTAATGAGTGGACTTCAAAGCAATGATCAGCATTTTATTGGCAAATATTGACTATTATAAACAGTTAAATGTTTGATTTGCTTACATTTTCAGATGTAACTTTGTTACATAAAAGTATATTTTTATTATTAGTATTTCAGTGTTTTTGTTGATACAGAATGTTTAAAAAGTTAATGAGTGGACTTCAAAGCAATGTTCAGCATTTTATTGGCAAATATTGACTATTATAAACAATTAAATAATGTTTGATTTGCTATATTTTTAGATGTAACATTGTTATATAAAAGTATCTTTTTATTATTAGTATTTCAGTGTTTTTGTTGATACAGAATGTTTAAAAAATTAATGAGTGGACTTCAAAGCAATGTTCAACATATTATTGGCAAATATTGACTATCATAAGCAGTTAAATAATGTTTGATTAATTAATTTGCTATATTTTTAGATGTAACATGGTTATTTATATAAAATAATCTTTTTATTATTAATATTTCAGTGTTTTTGTTGGTACAGAATGTTTAAAAAATTAATGAGTGGACTTCAAAGCAATGTTCAGCATTTTATTGGCAAATATTGACTATTATAAACAGTTAAATAGTGTTTGATTTGCTTATATTTTTAGATGTAACATTTTTATATAAAAGTATCCTTTTATTATTAATATTTCAGTGTTTTTGTTGATACAGAATATTTAAAAAATTAATGAGTGGACTTCAAAGCAAAGTTCAACATTTTATTGGCAAATATTGACTATCATAAGTAGTTATGTATCTGTAACGTGTGGAGGGTGGGTTACTCCACGGCACTTAGGCCTCATTAGGCCCATTGTGCATCCTCCTGAGAAGTAGTTATTTAATTTATATTATCAAAGTTATATACTATTATTTAAGCCTCAATAAAATAAATCATTTTAAGCATTTCTAAAAAAGTATTTCAAATTATACTCAACAGAGATAATCGTCTACTGCTTTTTCAAAGAGCTCCAGGATCCTCTGCTGTTCATCTTTTGTATTTGCTATTTTAATTTCATCTCTAATCCATTCTAACCACAATTTTGGGGTCAATGGAAAACATTCGTGAAATCGTTGATAAGCTTCTCTCATCGAATTTAAGTCTGCCAATTTTCTGTATATATTAATTATTTCGACGTGGACATCATACAAATATTTATTTGTTGTTAATTGTGCTTCCAGTTTACTAGCTTTGTTGATAAGTTCCTGTAAACATTTGGATATATTATAATGATAAATATTGTTTAATCAATGAAACCTTTTCAATTTCTTCATCGTCGTTGGAAGAATCGGAGGAATTATCGTTTTCATCTTCCATCGAACTCATTTTTTCCAATTAAATTATTTTTATAGATTTTTGTTTTGATTTATAACACAAACTCAAAATACAACAACAAAACACGCAAGTGGGGAAGTTGTCAACGTCAACTTGTCAGTATGGTGCGACGTTGAACGCACCAGGTGCGTTCAACGTTCATTCCTAGAATGTTCAATTTTTATACAGTTATATAGATTGATCATACGTAAATCGATGAAAAGCGAGTCGAACTGAAAGATAATTTCTCTTTGTCTAGGACATGTAATGGTTATGTTTTGTCTCAATTATTAATTGTGTGTGTCTATTGGTAAACAAACATTTACAGAACCGGGTTAGAAAGAAGTTTAGTCTATGTAGTAATTATGTTTTTAAATTAAATTCCTACTTTGATGAAACATGAGTTTTAAAATCATTTGGGCCAGGCCGATTCTGCTTGGTGAGCACTCAGCAAGATATGAACGACTGCAATATGTTTATATATTGATGGGCAGTCTATATAAATTATATATGTCATTGGGAAAATGGAACATACACAAGGTTCTTTCGTTCGTCCCACTGGTGTAGTAATGAACTACACCAATCCACAACCATACCTTTCGTTTGGCCCGGTGTAAAATCCACTATACCTTCCTGTCGGCGATGTGGTGTACACTGGTGGATATTTTCTCCAACAGCTATTTAGCAGGAGTGAATTACACTCGACGATGTGTATAAGGAATAAGGAGGAAGTAAATTAGGGTAAATAAGGTGGTATAACTGGTGTAATTTACACACTGGTGGACATTACACCAATAGCGAACGAAAGAACCTACTGAGTAGTTTTCGGATTAGCTAGGGACTGTAACGGGTTAGGAGCGGAGTTTTTTAGGAGTGCTGAACTGTCACTAATCGAAATAAACGCTAAAATTGTCGTTTGGAGTTAAAAGAGTGAACGGTACTTGTCTTCCCGAACTTACCTACGGTGGACGCTAACGGAACGCACCACTGTCATAAGGGCGTGTTGTGCGTTGTCATCTGTCAATTGACACATGTTTGACACATATTCTATTTTCAACAGTTCAACCAATCAAAATCCGCCGACTGGAAAATAACTAACCACCACTAACCTCTCGAAGAAAAATTTTATAGATGTGTGTGTGCGTGTCATGATTTTGTTTGGTGGTTGATGGTTGTCAAAAATGGTTCAAGCCGGTTCGAAAAAATCATCTGTTTCAAAAATAAACACCAAAGCTGGAATAAGTAGCCTGATAATTTTCGTAGTCCTCCTTTTAGCATGGATTGCAGGGTTTTCTTCTCGACTATTCGCAGTCATCAGATTCGAAAGTATCATTCATGAATTCGATCCTTGGTAGGTTTATTGTAATATAAATGTTTAATAGAATTGTCGATATATTTGTGGGTATTTTAGGTTTAATTACAGAGCAACTGCTTATATGGTAAAACATGGATTTTATAATTTCTTGAACTGGTTTGATGAGAGAGCATGGTATCCCTTAGGAAGGATCGTAGGGGGTACTGTATACCCTGGTTTGATGTTAACATCAGGCAGTATCCACTATATTTTGCATCTATTGCATATAAATGTACATATTCGTGATGTGTGTGTATTTTTAGCACCAGTGTTTAGGTGAGTAATATTTGCTTATAAAAACGTTTTTAATCGCTCAACAGATATAGAAATATTACTTTTTGATAGTTCTAATCAATAAATTTAATTATATCTCCTGTTTTCTCTGCTGTATACAATTTTAGACTATTATTTTTTATAAAACATTAATTAAGTATAATGATTTTGCTTTTATCATTCGATTCATCAATTTTATATAATCATTTCAAAATCAAATTCAGCAAATTTCTTCCAAATTAAACAAACAAAGCTTATCTTACAATATTAAAATATTTTATAAGTACTTTAATCACAATTTAACTGACAAATTGAAGCATGATAAATATATTAAAATGTTTAGGTGGTGTGTAAAGCAATAAATGGTTATAATAACAGGAAATGCACTAATTTTGTACCTTTATAAAGATTTTAGAAATAATTTATTGTGAAATGATTAATGAAAATTTATAGGTTTTTATATAGACATAAATAGGTTTTTATCTATATTATTTATAAGCTTTTATTTATAGGTTTATTTTATGGATAAATAGGGTTATTTTCTAGAAATATTTATTGGTTTATAGGTTTTTATGTTTTTATATAAACATAAATAAATAGGTTTTTATCTATATTATTTATAGGTTTATTTTATGAATTTTTATAGGTTTTTATAGATTTTTTTGTAGGTTCTTATAAATTTTTATAGGTTTTTATAGATTTTTATAAACTTTTATGAATTTTTATGGTTTTTTATAGGTTCTTATAAATTTTTATAGGTTTTTAGAGATTTTTTTTATAAATTTTTATAGGTTTTTGTGGATGTTTATAGATTATTATAAATTTTTGGAAAATTTTAGATTTTTTTTTATAAATTTTTGGAAAATTTTAGATTTGTATAGGTTTTAATAGATTTGTATAGGTTCTTATAAACTTTTATGAATTTTTATAGGTTTTTATATGTTTTAATAGATATTTATAAATTTTTGTAGGTTTTTATAAATTTTTATAGGTTTTTATAAATTTTTTATAAACTTTTATAGATTTTTATAGATTTTTTTTATAAGTTTTTATAGATTTTTATGGGTTTTTATAAATCTTTATAGGTTTTTATAGATTTTTATAAACTTTTATGAATTTTTATGGATTTTTTTTTTTTATAGGTTTTAATAGATTTTTATAGGTTCTTATAAATTGTTATAGGTTTTTAGAGATTTTTTTTTATATATATAAATTTTTGGAAAATTTTTAGATTTTTATAGGTTTTTAATAGATTTTTATGAATTGTTATAGGTTTTTATAGATTTTTTTTATAAACTTTTATGAATTTTTATGGTTTTTTTTTTTTTATAGGTTTTAATAGATTTTTTATAGGTTCTTATAAATTGTTATAGGTTTTTAGAGATTTTTTATATATATAAATTTTTGGAAAATTTTAGATTTTTTTTTTTATAGGTTTTTAATAGGTTTTTATGAATTGTTATAGGTTTTTATAAATTTTTATAGGTTTTTATAGATTTTTATAAACTTTTATGAATTTTTATGGATTTTTTTTATAGGTTTTAATAAATTTTTATAGGTTCTTATAAATTGTTATAGGTTTTTAGAGATTTTGATAAATTTTAGATTTTTATACGTTTTTAATACATTTTTATAGGTTTTCATGAATTGTTATAGGTTTTTATAGATTTTTATAAATTTTTATAGGTTTTCATGCATTGTTATAGTTTTTTTTATAAATTTTTATAGGTTTTTATGAATTTTTATAGGTTTTTATTTATAGAATTATTTATGTTATAATAGCAGGAAATGCATTAATTTTGTATGTTAATTAATCATTTCACAATAAATTATTTCCAAAAATTTTATATGAAAGCTTATAAGTTTTTATTTATAGGTTTTACAGATTATTTATAAAAAAACATTTTGTATAAATTCTCCTAGTACTTTTTACTCACTTTTTGAACAAAATATTTTGTTTTTCTATATCAGCTTACCTGATTTTTTTCAAAAATTTCCCATCAGTAATTTATGTTTTTATATTTTAATAGATTTTTATAGGTTCTTATAAATTTTTATAGGTTTTTATAAATTGTTATAGGTTTTAATAGATTTTTATAGATATTTATAAACTTTTATAGCTAATTTAGCTAGTAATTTAATGCAGCACATAAGATTACCTAAATTAAAAAAAAAATTTCAGTGGGCTCACAGCTATATCAACGTATTTCTTAACGAAGGAATTATGGTCAGCAGGAGCTGGACTATTTGCAGCTTGTTTTATTGCCATCGTGCCTGGTTATATCAGCCGTTCAGTGGCGGGTAGTTACGACAATGAAGGAATCGCCATTTTTGCCTTACAATTCACTTATTTTCTGTGGATCAAATCCGTCAAAACTGGTTCCGTTTTTTGGGCAGTCGCCGCCTCACTATCGTACTTTTATATGGTAAATATTACATGACGCATTTTTTATTTGTTTGTAATAATTTTTGACCATGTACAGACGGGCTTTAAACGGTTAAATGCGTGAGTGGATAGTCAAAATTAAGTAAAATTTCACAAATATTATGAATTTCATATTTTCGACATTCTTAACTTGAGTTGAAACTACTTTATTACATTATCTATAGATTTTTACTGATTTTTATTGACTTTTATGGATGTTTTTGAAGTTTTATAGGTTTTAATAGATTTTTATAGTCTTTTATAGATTTTTATAGGTTTTAATAGCTTTTTATAGATTTTTATAGGTTTTTATAGAATTTTATAGTCTTTTATAGATTTTTATAGGTTTTAATAGTCTTTTATAGATTTTATATAGCTTTTTATAGATTTTAATAGTTTTTTTTATAGGTTTTAATAGCTTTTTATAGATTTTTATAGAATTTTATAGTCTTTTATAGATTTTTATAGGTTTTAATAGTTTTTTATAGATTTTATATAGCTTTTAATAGTTTTTTTTATAGGTTTTAATAGCTTTTTATAGATTTTTATAGAATTTTATAGTCTTTTATAGATTTTTATAGGTTTTAATAGTCTTTTATAGATTTTATATAGCTTTTTATAGATTTTAATAGTTTTTTTTATAGGTTTTAATAGATTTTTATAGGTTTTTATAGTCTTTTTTTTAGATTTTTATAAGTTTTTAAAGATTTTGTTAGGTTTTAATAGATATTTGTAGATTTTTATAGATTTTTATATAGTTTTTTATTTTTATTATTATTATTATTATTATTATTATTATTATTATTATTATTATTATTATTATTTTTGTAGATATTTATAGGTTTTTATAGTCTTTTATAGATTTTTTTATAGGTTTTAATAGATTTGTATAGTCTTTTATAGAGTTTTATATAGCTTTTTCAAATTTTTATAGATTTTAATAGTTTTTTTTTATAGGTTTTAATAGATTTTTATAGGTTTTTATAGTCTTTTATAGATTTTTTATATAGCTTTTTATAAATTTTTATAAACTGAACAACTTGAAAATAATTTTCAATGCCACTTTTGTTATTAATTTGATTCCCCAAATTTCTATGATATATACCTATTTTTTGAAATGTTCAGTCTTAATTAATCAGATCAGACACCCAGTATTTCCAAAGTAAGTCCAAAGTACCTAAGTCAATTATTTTACTTGTTTGAACTGTTTTATTTCTGATTTTAAACCTATCTGTTATTTATGGAATTATTTTTAGGTTTCTGCATGGGGTGGCTATGTTTTCATTATAAACTTGATACCACTTCATGTGTTTGTCTTATTATTAATGGGCAGATATTCAAATAGACTCTTTACCAGTTATACAACGTTTTATATACTGGGTTTGATTTTCTCCATGCAAATTCCTTTTGTCGGTTTTCAACCTATTCGAACTAGCGAACACATGGCTGCAGGAGGTAAGAATGTTTAATTTCTTTTTTATGTTTTATATTTAATATCTAATGAATTTTTATAGAATTTCATACATTTTTATAGGTTTTTATAAAATTTTTATAGGTTTTTATAGAATTTTTATAGGTTTTTATAGAATTTTTATAGGTTTTTATAGAAATTTTATAGGTTTTTATAAATTATTATAGGTTTTTATAGATTTTTTATTATTATAGGTTTTTATAAATTTTTATAGGTTTTAATAGATTTTTTTTAATAAGTTTTTATGGATTTTAATAGAATTTAATAGGTTTTTATAAATTTTTAAAGATTTTTATAGGTTTTTATAGATTTTTAATAGATTTTTTATAGGTTTTTATAATTATTTTTAAGTGACCCAAATTTACTAGCACAATATTTTTAATTGTTTATATATTTCCTTTTCATAGGAGAATTATTCCCTACTGTTATTATTTTATATTCTTTTTATTGTACCAATCGTAATCATTCATATTCACTGACAAAGTATTATGGTTTATAACCTATAATATTTATAAGAATAAGAAAAATAAAGCTATTTTATATAATTATATTCTTTCAGGTGTATTTGCGCTATTGTTTGCCGTAGGCGTATTGAAGTATATGCAATCGATGATGTCAAAATCTGAATTTAAATCTTTAGTCGTATTCGGTGGACTAATATCCGCAGCTGTGGTATTTTTAGGTGTAGTTTTACTTACTTATGCCGGTTACGTTGCCCCTTGGAGCGGTAGGTAAGTAACGTCTCGATTGACTTACCTCAAAATGATCTTCACAACATTATTTTTTTTAATTTTAGATTTTATTCCTTATGGGATACAGGGTATGCCAAAATTCATATTCCCATTATTGCTTCTGTATCGGAACATCAACCGACGACTTGGTTTTCGTTCTTTTTCGACTTGCATATTTTAGTTGCGACTTTCCCGGCCGGTTTGTGGTATACCATCAAAAATATAAACGATGAAAGAGTTTTCGGTAAGAATTTTTAAATAATAAAAAATAGGTTAGAGTGAAAAAAAAAATAATGTTTTAGTTGTGTTATACGCGTTGAGCGCTGTCTATTTCGCCGGTGTCATGGTTCGACTCATGCTTACGTTGACGCCTGTCGTTTGTATTCTGAGTGGAATCGCCTTTTCTGGATTGCTGGAACTGTTTTTAAGAGAAGATGACAGCAGTCGCGGTGAAGATAGCGAGGAAGAAGAACAAAGCACGCCGAGCAAGAGACTTTATGATAAAGTAAGTTTTTTTTTGGAATTTGTGGTGTTGAAAGATTTAATAATCAAAATTTTAAAGAGTTTATGTGACAAATGGCAATTCTTCTTCTTTAGGAGACAAATTTTATTTTATTCAAAGGTATTTTTTAAATTTATAGATTTTTATAAATTTTTAAATGTATTTTTATAATTTTTTTTTAGGTTTTTATAGTTTTATAAATATTTCGATAGATTTTTTCTAGGTTTTTATAATTTTTTTTTTAAGGTTTTATAAAGTTTTTCTCAATTTTTATAGGTTATAGATTTTCTAAAGATTTCAATAGATTTTTTAGGTTATATAAATTTTTATGGGTTTTTATAGGTTTTTATAAATTTTTAATGAGTTTTATAGGTTTTTATAGATTTTCTAAAGATTTCAATATTTTTTTTTAAGGTTTTTATACATTTTTATAAATTTTTAAAGAGTTTTATAGGTTTTTTGTAGATTTTATAAAGATTTCAATAGATTTTTTTTTATTTAGGTTTTTATAAATTTTTATTGTTTTTAATAGATTTTTATAAAGTTTTATGGACTTTCATAGATTTTTAAATAGTTTTATAGATTTTTATAGGTTTCAATAGATTTTTATAGGTTTATTTTTTATTAATTTTCTAAAGATTTCGATAGATTTTTTCTGTTTTTATAAATTTTTGTAGGTTTTATAGTTTTATGAATTTTTAAAGTGTTTTATAGATTTCAATAGATTTTTATAGGGTTCAGTAGATTTTTATAGCTTTTTTATAGTTTTTTAAAAGAGTATATGTTTTTAAAGAGTTTTATGTGTTATTACAGATGTTCTAAAGATTTCAATAGATTTTTTAGGATTTTATAAATTTTTATGGGATTTTATAGGTTTTCTAAAGATTTCCATAGATTTTTTAGGTTTTTATAAATTTTTATAGGTTTTTATAGGTTTTTATAAATTTTTATAGGTTTTTATAAATTTTTAATGAGTTTTATAGGTTTTTATAGATTTTCTAAAGATTTCAATATTTTTTTTTTAAAGGTTTTTATACATTTTTATGGGGTTTTATAGGTTTTTATAAATTTTTAAAGAGTTTTATAGGTTTTTTGTAGATTTTCTAAAGATTTCAATAGATTTTTTTTTTTATTTAGGTTTTTATAAATTTTTATTGTTTTTAATAGATTTTTATAAAGTTTTATGGACTTTCATAGATTTTTAAATAGTTTTATAGATTTTTATAGGTTTCAATAGATTTTTATAGGTTTATTTTTTATTAATTTTCTAAAGATTTCGATAGATTTTTTCTGTTTTTATAAATTTTTGTAGGTTTTATAGTTTTATGAATTTTTAAAGTGTTTTATAGATTTCAATAGATTTTTATAGGGTTCAGTAGATTTTTATAGTTTTTTAAAAGAGTATATGTTTTTAAAAAGTTTTATGTGTTATTACAGATGTTCTAAAGATTTCAATAGATTTTTTAGGATTTTATAAATTTTTATGGGATTTTATAGGTTTTCTAAAGATTTCCATAGATTTTTTAGGTTTTTATAAATTTTTATAGGTTTTTATAAATTTTTATAGGTTTTTATAAATTTTTAAAGAGTTATAGGTTTTCATAGATTTTTATAGGTTTTTATAAATGTTTAAAGAGTTTTATGAATTTTTAAAGAGTTTTATAAGTTTTCTAAAGATTTCAATAGATTTTTTTAAAGGTTTTTATAGGGTTTTATAAATTTTAAAGAGTTTTATAGATTTTTATAGGTTTTTATAAATTTTTAAAGAGTTTTATAAATTTTCTAAAGATTTCAATACATTTTTTTTAGGTTTTTATTGATTTTTATAAAGTTTTATGGACTTTTATAGATTTCTAAATACTTTTATAGATTTTTATAGGTTTTTATAGGTTCTCTAAAGATTTCCATACCTTTTTGCCACACAATAACGTAAGCGACATTTGTTCAAATGGCAAAAAGGTACAGATATATACTGATGCTGTATAGAGGCATTTGAGATTTGAAAACGAGCCGTTTGGCTCGAACTAGCGCATCAAATAATTCTAAAAAAAAATCTTTTTAGGCTGGCAAGGTTCCAAAAATGAAACACGAACAATCTCGCGACACCGACAACATAGGACCGAATCTAAGGAGCATAGTAACAGTAGTGATTTTGCTATTGCTCATGTTGTTTGCCGTGCATTGTACTTGGGTGACGAGCAACGCTTATTCCAGCCCGAGCATAGTTTTAGCTTCGTACGGCAGCGACGGAACGAGACAAATCTTGGACGATTTTAGAGAAGCGTACTTCTGGCTGTCTCAAAACACCGCAGACGACGCTAGAATAATGAGCTGGTAAGCGTTTGAGTAATTTTTATTCTATAGGTTTTTATAAATTTTCTAAAGATTTTTTAGGTTTTTATGTTTTTTTTTTTTTTTTATAGATTTTTATAATTTTTTATAGGTTTTTATAAAGTTTTATATAGTTTTATAGGTTTTTATAAATTTTCTAAAGATTTTTTTTTTTTTTTTTTATAGAATTTTATAATTTTTTATAGGTTTTTATAGAGTTTTATAGGTTTTCATAAATTTTCTAAAGATTTTTTTTAGGTTTTTATAATTTTTTTTATAAAGTTTTATGAATTTTTATAGTTTTTTAGATTTTTGTAGGTTTCAATAGATTTTTATAGGTTTTTATACATTTTTAAAGAGTTTCATAGATTTTTTATAGGTTTCAATATTGTTTTAGTTTTTTATATATAGGTTTTCTAGATTTTTATAATTTTTTGGTGGGTTTGTATAAATTTTTATGGGTTTTTATAAATTTTGATGGGGTTTTCTAAATTTTTTTATGGGTTTTATAAATTTTTATGGGGTTTTATAGATTTTTAAGTTTTATAGGTTGTTTTATATATACTTGTAGGTGGGACTACGGGTATCAAATAGCCGGAATGGCCAATCGAACTACTCTAGTCGATAATAATACTTGGAATAATAGTCACATCGCATTGGTAGGCAAAGCCATGTCCTCCAACGAGTCCGCCGCGTACGAAATCATGACGGCTCTAGATGTCGACTACGTTTTAGTTATATTCGGCGGTGTTATCGGGTATTCGGGCGATGACATTAATAAATTCCTTTGGATGGTTAGAATTGCAGAAGGAGAGCATCCGAAAGACATTAGGGTAAGTTGGAAATTTTTTGTAACTGTATCTGTTATTTTTTTTTATATTTTACTTCTAGCATTTTAAATTTTATTTCCATGGTGTCTACAAAAATTCTCTGTGTATCTTTGTATCTCCCCTATATGTTCCGACTATGTCCAAAATTTGTTCGCAGCTTGATGGATTCCATTTTTATAGATTTTTCTAAAGATTTCAATAGATCTTTTTTAAGGTTTTTATACATTTTTATAGGTTTTTATAGATTTTCTAAAGTGTTTTTTTTTTAAGATTTTTATAGATTTAGTTTTTTTTTTTTTTATAAATTATAGGTTTTTATAGATTTTTTTTTTATAGGTTTTTATAGATTTTTATAGGTTTTTAAAGAGTTGTATAGGTCATTATAGATTTTATTAGGTTTTTATAAACTTCTATAGGTTTTTAAAGAGTTGTATAGGTTTTTATAGGTTTTTATAAATTTCTATAGGTTTTAAAAGAGTTGTATAGGTTTTTATAGATTTTATTAAGTTTTTTATAGATTTTGTTAGGTTTTTATAAATTTCTATACGTTTTTATAGGTTTTCTAAAGAGTTTTATAGGTTATTATAGATTTTCTAAAGATTTTGTTAGGTTTTATAAATTTATATAGGTTTTTATAGATTTTTTTTATAGGTTTTTATAATTTTCTATAGGTTTTTATAGATTTTTATAGATTTTTAAAGAGTTGTATATGTTTTTATACATTTTGTTAGGTTTTTATAAATTTCTATAGATTTTTATAGATTTTTCAAGAGTTTTATAGGTTATTATAATTTTTTTAAAGATTTTGTTAGGTTTTATAAATTTATATAGGTTTTTATAGATTTTTTTATAGGTTTTTATAATTTTCTATAGGTTTTTATAGATTTTTATAGGTTTTTAAAGAGTTGTATATGTTTTTATAGATTTTGTTAGGTTTTTATAAATTTCTATAGATTTTTATAGATTTTTCAAGAGTTTCATAGGTTATTATAATTTTTTTAAAGATTTTGTTAGGTTTTATAAATTTATATAGGTTTTTATAGATTTTTTTTTAAGTTTTTATAGATTTTTATAGGTTTTTATAATTTTCTATAGGTTTTTATAAATTTTTATAGGTTTTTAAAGAGTTGTATATGTTTTTATAGATTTTGTTAGGTTTTTATAAATTTCTATAGGTTTTTCAAGAGTTTCATAGGTTATTATAAATCTTTTAAAGATTTTGTTAGGTTTTTATAGATTTTTATAGGTTTTTAAAGAGTTTTATAGTTTATTATAAATTTTCTAAAGATCTTTTTAGGTTTCTATATTTTTTTTATAAGTTTTTATAAAGTTTTATAGATTTTTATAGGTTTTAATAGATTTTTGACAAGGCTCTTTCTTTCGGTAGTTATCTTACCACCAGAGTTATTAATTTCAGGTGGCTCGTAGCTGCATTCTTGTAGCTTATCCCAGACAGAACTTTGTGATCCTATCTGGATTTTTTCCTTCTTGCGGTGTTACTTGGCTGCCTTTTCTTCTCCCTAATTGCGTCGTATTGCCAACCTCTTTTAGAGGCAGAACTTGGGTCGCTAGCTAAGAACTTGAGGGATTTTGTTGCAGCTTACCTCTCTTCCTCTTCTTTGCTTCAAACCCAGAGATCATCATGTTAGTTGGAGGTGAACTACGGTGTCTATTCTCCTCTTTCGTTTATACTTTTAAGTAGAGTTCGACTGTTGTATGAATTTCGTTTTTAGGAAAGCGATTACTTCACCGAGCACGGCGAATTCAGGGTGGACGCCGAAGGTTCGCCGACGTTGTTGAATTGTTTAATGTACAAATTGAGTTACTATCGTTTCGGCGAACTCAAATTGGATTATAGGAGTCCGGCGGGATTCGATCGTACAAGAAATGCTGTAATTGGACATAAAGATTTCCAATTGACGTATTTAGAAGAAGCGTATACGACCGAACATTGGTTAGTGAGAGTGTACAGGTAAATGGTTTTGTTGTTATTGTCCGATTTGGTGGAATTTATGTTGTTTATTTTTTAGAGTTAAAAAGCCAGATGAATTCAATAGACCCAGAATTCCTATTGCGAATAGAATTGTTAAATCTAGTAATTACATTACTAAAAAGGTAACTACAAATTTTTCTTTAGGTTTTTATGTATTTTTAAACAGTGTTATAGATTTTTTTATAATTTTTTTTTATATAGGTTTTTATAGGTTTTATAAAGATTTCAATAGACTTTTTAGGTTTTTATAAACTTATATAGGGTTTTATAGATTTTTAAAGAGTTTTATAGATTTTAAAAGAGTTTTTATAGATTTTCTAAAAATTTTAATAGATATTTTAGGTTTCAATAAATTTTTATACACTATAGATTTTTATAAACTTTTATAGGTTTTTATAGATATTTATAAAGTTTTATGGGATTTTATAGATTTTCAATAGATTTTTTTAGGTTTCAATAAATTTTTATAGACTTTATAGATTTTTATAAAGTTTTATAGGTTTTTATAGATATTTATAAACTTTTATAGGTTTTTATAGATATTTATAAAGTTTTATGGGATTTTATAGATTTTCAATAGATTTTTTTAGGTTTCAATAAATTTTTATAGACTTTATAGATTTTTATAAAGTTTTATGGATGTTTATAGATTTTTATAAACTTTTATAGGTTTTTTTTTTTAGATATTTATAAAGTTTTATGGGTTTTTATAGATTTTCAATAAAACATTTTAGGTTTCAATAAATTTTTATAGAGTTTATAGATTTTTATAAAGTTAATGAATTTTTATAGATTTTTAAAGAGTTTTATAGATTTTTAAAGAGTTTTATAGATTTTTATAAGTTTCAATAGATTGTTATAGGTTTTTTAGATTTTTATGGGTTTTTATAGATTTTTAAAGAGTTTTTTAGATTTCAATAAATTTTTATAAGTTTTAATAGACTGTTATAGGTTTTTTTTAGATTTTTTTAAATTTTTATGGGTTTTTTTTTATAGATTTTTATAAAATTTTATAGATTTTTATCAACTTTTAAAATCTTACAAGCAACTTTTCTTTAAAGAAATTTCTTCTCCATATAAATATTCCATAAAGTAGTAAAAGGACCCTCAGATGTTCCGATTATGTCCAAAATCTTATCTACTGTCTAAAATTTGGTGTTTTGTTGTATATTTATTAAAATTTCTATTTATTTTTTTTAATTCTAACGATGTTTAATTATTTTTCTTTTAGAATATTAAGCGCAAAAAGGGAACCATAAAAAACAAACCGTTAGTTGTAAAAGGTAAGAGACTGTCTTCAAAACAATGAGTTGAAGTAAAAAAAAATCTTAAATCATTAGTTGTATAAATTAGATTTTGTTGTTGGTTATTGTTTTTTATTTTCTATTTATTAAAATATTCATTTACACTTAAATTTGTTTATTTTAATGAAATTAATATTGTTTAAATTGTTTTTTTTTTTAAATCTTCTTTCACAATGTGATGTAAAAAAATAGTAAATACAAATACAAAATTTTTTTGTCGTTTTTTTTTCTGTTATTGTATATGGTAAGAATATTTATTATATAATATACAAGGTGTTTGGTAAATATGCGGCAAAAATGCAAAGGGTTCTTTTATTCCTTGGACTTTTTCAAGAATATTTTGTTATTTGATGATTCGTGAAAATTCGCTTTGTTTCGAAGATACAGGGCGAACAAAATTTCGACAGTAACATTTTATTATAATAAAAATAATCTTTACAATAGTTGTTAAAAAAATCAGAATTTTGCATATTTTGTCAAATTTCTCGAATACGGACCATTTCAGGAAATTTTTACATAAGGCAAAAATTATAGATAATAATATTAGAAGTAACTTTTATTTGAACAATTTTTTTCTCCAAACATAAATAACAGATATATTCCATAAAATATGAAAACGGCCTCCTATAAAGTACCCCCCCAGATGTTCCCTTTGTCCAAAATCTAATCATTTCACGTCAGGTCGAAATAAAAGTTAAGTTTAAAATTTAATGTTTTTTTCTTTATCCATTTTTGAGTTTTCTCCAAATTTTGAAATTTACACATTTTCTTAAATATCTCGAATACGGTCCATTTTAGAGAAATTATGTATAGAATAAAAATTATAGTGAATTATATTACAAACAACTTTTATTTGAACAATTTTTATAAAAAAAATACTTTTTTACATTTTGTCAAATTTCTCGAATACGGACCATTTTAGGAAAATTTTGTATATAACAAAAATTATAGATAATAATATAAGAAGTAACTTTTATTTGAAGAATTTTCTTCCCCAAACGGAAATAACAGATATATTCCATAAAATATAAAAATGACCACCTATAAAGTACCCCTCCAGATGTTGCGATTCTGCTCAAAATCTAATCAGTTCATTGGACGCTGGAATAAAGCTTAAGTTTAAAATTTGGTGTTTTTCTGTGTATCGGTTCATGAGTTATGCGACATACAGACATCATCGCGAAAATAGTCAAAACGGATTCAGGGGACCTCAAAACGTAAAAATCCGTCGAAAACTCGAGGTCGAAAAAAATCATGATTCCTATACTTTCCTTATATCTGTATACAGATAGGAAAGTAAAAAAGAATTAAATTTAATAAATAGTTTGGTTAAAAGGCGCCTATTCAGCAAAGCTGTTCTTCCATAAGGACCTATCGCAAAGTAAAACCTAAATTTCGAGGGTTAAGAACCAGAACGACGTAACAGAAAAAAATACCAAACTGAGTCATCAAAAAATTATATTACGGACACTTTAATACTTTTAATTTTTGTAAAAGGTACTGTCAAAAGTAAAATAAGAGGGAATATGTAGAATAATATATTCGAAATTAGAATCAATTTAGATGATGTTTATTTTGGACATATTTTTAGGTCTCCTGAGCATTTTAGAAATGTCTGTTACGTCGTTATGGTTCTTAACCCTCGATTTGTAAGTTTATATTATAATACCCTATATAAATAAAAAAAAATAACATCTTATCTTACGACAACATAACCTTTTCTCCTAGATTGTTTTTATAATAATATTTATTAATAATAATAATTAAAAAATTATGTAACAATAATATAAAACAGGTCATAAAAAAGTTTTCAAAGAATTTTTTTTAAGCTAATATCTACATCTGCTTATGGCAACATAACCTCTTTTCTTAGATTGATTTTATAATAATAACAGTAATCGTATTTATAAAACAAGATATAAAAATCTGATGTGTCCAACACTTATTCGAATATATTACTGTATTTTTTTCATAGGAAAAATACACCTACGGTTAGGTTAGATAGATATTTAGATCTATCTAACCTAACCGTAGGTGTATTTTTCCTATGAAAAAAATACCCAATTTGAATTGCAGTCCACCGTCCGACCAGACTTTACGTCTAATCGGTGTTTAATCTATATATACCGGGTGTTTAAATTAAAGTTTTACAATTAAATACTGGCGAAAATACGTTTTTTATAAAAAAAAATCTGATGTGTCCAATACATGACTTTCCTATCTAGTTATAGGCTTTTTCCGGTTATTTTGTACAACCTATTGCAGCACATCTAAATGTTTAGAGGATAAACTAAATATATACATTTTCCACATACATCTAACTCGAAACATTTTTCTATAGACAGGGCCGACTAGAGGGGGGGCAGCCGGGACTAATTCCCGGAGCCCGGGTTCAAATGGTGGCCTGGCAAAATCCTGAGTTTGCGCCTCCCGCCTATCTAGCCTAACTACTACAATTTTTTGTCTAACTTTATTTTTAGCAAACTGTCTTATGCTTTTTGTAATATTGGTTTTCTCACATATCTCGTGTTCTATTGCAATAATAGCAGGACCACAAAGTCGATTTTGTGTGATTGTGGTACGTAGGTAAGTTTTGGTCCATTTTAGTTTTGAGAAACTCCTTTCTCCAGTAGCGATAGTTACGGAAGCGTTAAAAAGATCCAGATGGCTATACTTAAATTGGGAGCAAAATTCAATTTTGTTATAAATTGAAGTACTTCGTTAGGAGTTTTTTTTTTAAGAGAAACCAGTTTGTCAGCTAGTTCTAAGCCATTTATATCACTATTATCTTCGTCAGTTAAAACGTTCTCAATTTTTTTGCAGTATGCTATTATCTGGCTTTTGGGTACTTGCTTTAAGTTGTTAATGTCATAAAAAATTAAAAAAATTCCAGAGCGTAAAATCTTTGCTCTAAAGCATTTAAGGCTGTATCTAGAACAAGATTATATGCCTTAGCTGTTGCTTCAAAAGATTTTTCTACATCAATTTCTGTCGCCAGTTCCCCCGCATTCACGAGCAGTTGATCAAATTCATTGTCTCTTAAATTGTGAAAAAAACTCTGCAAATTCTTTAAAGCCTCAGTGGCAGAATGAATATCAATCATAAGTTGACGTGGTTAAAAATCTGATGTGTCCAACACATGACTTTCCTATCTAGTTAACCTATTGCAGCATCTCTAAAAATGTTTAGAGGATAAACTAAATATATACATTTTCCACATACATCTACCTCGAAACATTTTTCTATAGATATTCATTGAAAACGAAAATACTGAAAAATTTTAATTTAGCACTTTTCCTCCAATTTTTCCATTACGGTCCATTTTAGAAAAGTCATTTAAAAACAAAAATTATAGAGATCGATATCGCAAACAACTTTTAGATTAACAATTTTCTTAAAAATCAGAATTTTGCACATTTTGTCAAATTTCTCGAATACGGACCATTTCAGGAAAATTTGACATAGAACAAAAATTATAGATAATAATATTGTAAGTAACTTTTATTTAAAGAATTTTCTTCCCCAAACGTAAATAACGAATATATTCCATAAAATATAAAAATGACCACCAATAAAGTACCCCCCCAAATGTCCAAAATTTAATCAGTTCACCTCAGGTCGAAATAAAACTTAAGTTTAAAATTTAATGTTTTTTCCTTTATCCGTTTTTGAGTTTTATTCAAAATTCGAAATTTACACATTTTCTCAAATATCTCGAATACGGTCCATTTTAGAGAAATTATTTATAGGATAAAAATTATAGAGAATTATATTACAAACAACTTTTATTTAAACAATTTTTATAAAAAAAATTTTTTACATTTTGTCAAATTTCTCGAATACGGACCATTTTAGGAAAATTTTGCATAAAACAAAAATTATAGATAATTATATAAGAAGTAACTTTTATTTGAAGAATTTTCTTCTCCAAACGTAAATAACAGATATATTCCATAAAATATAAAAATAACCACCTATAAAGTACCCCCCCAGATGTTCCGACTCTGCCCAAAATCTAATCAGCTCATTGGACGCTGAAACAAAGCTTAAGTTTAAAATTTGGTGTTTTTCTGTGTATCGGTTCATGAGTTATGCGACTTACAGACACACACACACAGACATCATCGCGAAAATAGTCAAAACGGATTCAGGGGACCTCAAAACGTAAAAATCCGTCGAAAACTCGAGGTCGAAAAAAATCATGATTCCTATACTTTCCTTATATCTGTATACAGATAGGAAAGTAAAAAGACTAAACCAAATAACAACAGAACATACAAATTTGAACTGTTTAATTTGCGTAAGTAAACCAGACGCTTCATCTCTGATTACAGCATCATTGGATCGTTATATGTAGAAAAAAACTTTCATAAATTTTACCTTTATTTATTTTAGTATCTCAAAGGTTTTATAGCATTAATTCTACTTTCCCACCTTGTATCGTTGAATGGTTTCAATGTTATACTCTCAATATGTTGAAGTAAAATTGACCATCTAAATGTCGACACGGAAAAAATAAATAAATACACCGGCACACAAAAAAAAGTGCTCTGTTCTTTTGACCGCACCCATCTATCTCTATGTATTTTGACCCGCTGAATCCGAATCTGAGGTCAGTTTGGCCAATACACCTCCAAAATTTCGAGAAAACTTTAAAAAACCGAAAAAAATGACGAAAATCGGCAATTTTGGTGATAGAAAAAATTTTAAGGACCTAAACCAAGCATGATTTTTATGTATTTCGATCCGCTGAATATGAATCTAAAGTTTACTTAGACCATAAGCCCTTTAATATATAACTAAATTCCAAAAAAACCCTCAAAAACAGAGCACTTTTTTTTGTGTGTCGGTAATATCTTTTATACAGTATTGGAGAAGTTGGCAGCTTCTAAAGAGGATACGGCCATGTCATTAATTACAAAATTTAAAGATTGGCTACCACATGGAACAAAAAATGCACGAGGGTTAATTTCTCGAATTTTTCTTTGGACACCTGACCATTCCCCTTTTATATTTGCGCCGTTATCGTACCCCTGCCCACGCATATTTTCTAGTTTTTTCAGCTCAGCTATTAAAATATCAAACAATTGTTGGCTCGTAGATCTTTCGACTGGTAGAAAACCCAAAAAATAATCATTAATTTGAACCTAATTGTTTTCAATTATAACATATTTTATAACAAGTGTTATCTGTTCAGTTTTGCTTAGATCGGGTGTAATAATATTTAATAATACTTTCCGAACCTGCTCCAATATAGTATTTCGCATATTACTTGATATATCTTTCCCAAATATGTTGCTTCTTTTTTCATTATTCTTCTCCATTATAGGATCGTATTCTGCCAAAAGTTGAACCAATTACAAAAAATTGCCATTAATATGCTTATACAATCTTTCTAAAAGAAAGGCAGCTTTGACCTAACAATTTTATTAAATTCCTTTAAATACAGTAGTCTAAAACAAAATATAGGCAATTAAAAAGGATTTATACAAATTATTTGATTAACAATAGTTTTATTAACTATTATACTTCGTAACCACGTCTGAGTAGACCAAGAACAATTTGTAGTTACGCCTCTGGTGCGATATCAAACCATCGTTTAAAATCAGTAAAAAAGATGTTTACCTACCGGCTCAGACCATATCTACGTGATTCATACCAATCATTACGTTTTTCAGTGCGAAATCGAACATACTTATGTTAAAATTATTTGTGATTTATAATTTGTAATAAAATTTAGTGATTTGTTAAAATAGTGAAAACAAAAGTGCTAAGTATGGAAAAATTTGGACTTAATTCAACGCATGATTCAGGACTCATCATCCTCGAGCTCTTCAAGTAGGTTATTTTATTTTATTTCCGACAAAATTTGATATGCAAAGTTCCATGTTTATGCATGGATATTGGCTTCCACAGATGTATTTTCTTTATTCAAAGTACCATATATATAATAAAATATTCTGTTTATGCAAGGAGGTAATTTTAAAAATAATATGTTCGCATTGGTTTTCTGTTTATGCATCTTACCTTAAGCGGGCCTCACCGTGATTATATTGGATATTTTGTTTTAAGCGAAAATATATACTGGGTCATTCTATATGGGCGGAACACTTGATTTATGGCTTAATGACTTGTACGACAATTTGACTTTTATGTACTATATTTATTGACGTTTACAGATTTCCCGCATACGTAATGATTTTCAAGATATGACGTCATCGGGCAATATTTTAAATGGATCACCCTGTATTTATATTTTTTTTCGAGTTCGTATGATCTGTCTGATTTCATCAATGGTACATTAAGTGGGTCCCAGACTTATTTAAAATACTGCCCGATGACGTCATATGTTGAAAAACATTACGTATGCGGGAAATCTGTAAACGTCAATAAATATTACATAAAATGTACAGAAACTTTTGTCTAAGTCAAATTATCGTACAAGTCATAGTTAAGCCATAAATCAAGTGTTCCGCCCATATAGAATGACCCGGTATAATATATTTTAAAGGAATCCGTTTAAATAAAGACAGAAGTAATTTAGTACGAACATATTTTTAAAGGCCTCCAATATTTTAACGGCCGTATAAAGGAATTGTTACAGAATAGACCCCAATAGCGGTTTCAGCATGGGGCACACTAAAAAAAATCTGATGTGTCCAACACATGACTTTCCTATCTAGGCTCTTTCCGGTTATTTTGTACAACCTATTGCAGCACCTCTATAAATGTTTAGAGGATAAACTAAATATATACATTTTCCACATACATCTAACTCGAAACATTTTTCTATAGATATTCATTGAAAACGAAAATAGTGAAAAATTTAAATTTAGCACTTTTTCTTCAATTTTTCCAATACGGTCCATTTTAGAAAAATCATATAGAAACAAAAATTATAGAGATCGATATCACAATTAACTTTTATTTAAACAATTTTCCTAAACATTTGAATTTTATTACATTTTGTCAAATTTCTCGAATACGGACCAAGAGTAAGCTCTGTAAGCGGCATTAAAAAATTTAAATAGTTTGGCCGTTATAGGCAAACAATTAAATTAGGCCCGCGGTACACTTTGCCCTTTCGCCATATGCCCAATTTTGGGATTTCTCTTACCCCCTTCTGGGAATTATAATAGTCACATCCCTTATTAGGTTTAAACGCATTTTTGTTTTTTCAAATATCTTAATTTTTACCAAAGTTATGAAGAATTTAGTGTTTGGACATTTTACAAATTCAATTTTTCGACCTTCGCCCCCTCAAAATACTAAATAAATTTCAATCGTCCATACCGCGAGAACGGTGCGTCGGATCAAAATTTCTCAAGAGACATGAAAATTAGCATTTTTCCTAAGCTTTCAAATGTAAACTGCGTTTCGAAACTATTGATTTATTTCCGACATGCAAAATTGACAAAATCCAAAATTTCGGCACTTTCGAAAAACAGCTACATTTTGTTTTGCATTTTTTCGAAAAGATCACCTCAAAATACATAGAATCATCCATTTTGTTTCATCTAATTACAATTTAATGTAAGCTTAAAACTCGTAATTATATGTTGGTTGTTCCAACTACAAAACACCCTGTATAAGATATGTGTACTATGCAATATGCCAAAATATCATATTTGAGTAGTACTTTTTGAAAATATGCTACCTAAAAAAAGAAATCTAAATCTAACCGTCAACCACCGTGGATAAGGGCTGGAAAACGTAAGTTTAAAAAAAGGAGAAAATATAAATCTAACCGTCAAGCACCGTAGGTAAGGGCTGAAAAACGTAGATTTTAAAAAAGAAGAAAATATAGGTTAACATTCATAAAAAAACATCATAAATGACAATAAAATAATAAATATACGTTAATATTAATTAAAAATGCATTTATTAAATGTTTATTTTTTTTTATTCTCCATTTCCGTTGTTCAGGTATTTATAAAAAAAATGTAATTCATAAAATACTTACCAAAACCGTTTTCAGTCTTTTTCAAATAAAAATCATACCAATAATTGGGCGGTTCTAGTAGATACAAGTCGATTCTGGTTTAACTATAGACATGTCGCGAACGTGTTATCTATATACAGAAGTGTAAAACGTCTTGGAATACCAGACAGTCAAATAATTTTAATGATTGCTGATGATATGGCTTGTAATCCCAGAAATCCCAGACCAGGTACTGTGTTCAATAACGCTGACCAGCATATTAATGTGTATGGGGATGATGTGGAAGTGGATTACAGAGGTTACGAGGTAATTATTATAGAACTATTAATGCTGAAAATATGGTACAAATTAAGTCAAATTATTATTATTATTTTTAAGGTAACTGTAGAGAACTTTGTAAGGCTGTTAACAGGAAGATTACCTCCAGGCACACCGAGATCAAAGCAATTATTGTCAGATGAAGGAAGTAACGTATTGATCTATTTAACTGGACATGGAGGAGATGGTTTTCTTAAATTTCAAGATTCTGAAGAAATAACCAGCCAGGAAATGGCTGATGCACTGGAACAAATGTGGCAGAAACAAAGGTACAGTATCTTGATTTCATCTGTTTTCTGTTTCCATAATATTCACAGTGATCTTTTATTTTAAGGTACAATGAAATATTTTTTATGATCGATACATGCCAAGCAGCTTCTATGTATGAAAGATTTTATTCTCCAAACATTTTAGCAGTTGGAAGCAGTTTGGTTGGTGAAGATTCACTGTCTGTAAGTAAAATTCAAGTATTTTTTTGCTAAAATAACTATACAACTGAAAATATTTTGCATAAAATGTATGCATGTTTTTTTTTGTTTTTATTTATTGAATTGACTCCATTTTTTTAAATTTTCTAGCTCATCTCATCATCATGTAATGTGATCTGTGTATTCAGGGCCGTGAAATCTCTAAAAAGAAAAAAGTCTTCAAGCAATAATTTATTCTCTTTAGTAAAATCTCTAAAAAAGGTTTTTAAGCAAAAACTTTTCCTCTTTAGTGAAATCTCTGAGAAAAAAAGGTCTTTAAGCAAAAACTTCTCTTCCTACTTAGTAAAGTCTCTAAAAAAAGTCTTTAAGCATAAACTTCTCTTCCTACTTAGTAAAAATCTCTAAAAAAAGGTCTTCAAGCAAAAACTTCTCCTCTTTAGTGAAATCTCTAAGAAAAAAAGGTCTTTAAGCAAAAACTTCTCTTCCTACTTAGTAAAGTCTCTAAAAAAAGGTTTTTAAACAAAAACTTCTTTTTAATGAAATCTCTAAGAAAAAACTTCTCTTCCTACTTAGTAAAATCTCTAAAAAAAGGTCTTTAAGCAAAAACTTCTCCTCTTTAGTGAAATCTCTAAGAAAAAAAGATCTTTAAGCAAAAACTTCTCTTCCTACTTAGTAAAGTCTCTAAAAAAAGTCTTTAAGCATAAACTTCTCTTCCTACTTAGTAAAAATCTCTAAAAAAAGGTCTTCAAGCAAAAACTTCTCCTCTTTAGTGAAATCTCTAAGAAAAAAAGGTCTTTAAGCAAAAACTTCTCTTCCTACTTAGTAAAGTCTCTAAAAAAAGGTTTTTAAACAAAAACTTCTTTTTAATGAAATCTCTAAGAAAAAACTTCTCTTCCTACTTAGTAAAATCTCTAAAAAAAGGTCTTTAAGCAAAAACTTCTCCTCTTTAGTGAAATCTCTAAGAAAAAAAGGTCTTTAAGCAAAAACTTCTCTTCCTACTTAGTAAAGTCTCTAAAAAAAGGTTTTTAAACAAAAACTTCTTTTTAATGAAATCTCTAAGAAAAAACTTCTCTTCCTACTTAGTAAAATCTCTAAAAAAAGGTCTTTAAGCAAAAACTTCTCCTCTTTAGTGAAATCTCTAAGAAAAAAAGGTCTTTAAGCAAAAACTTCTCTTCCTACTTAGTAAAGTCTCTAAAAAAAGGTTTTTAAACAAAAACTTCTTTTTAATGAAATCTCTAAGAAAAAACTTCTCTTCCTACTTAGTAAAATCTCTAAAAAAAGGTCTTTGAGCAAAAACTTCTCCTCTTTAGTGAAATCTCTAAGAAAAAAAGGTCTTTAAGCAAAAACTTCTCTTCCTACTTAGTAAAGTCTCTAAAAAAAGGTTTTTAAACAAAAACTTCTTTTTAATGAAATCTCTAAGAAAAAACTTCTCTTCCTACTTAGTAAAATCTCTAAAAAAAGGTCTTTAAGCAAAAACTTCTCCTCTTTAGTGAAATCTCTAAGAAAAAAAGGTCTTTAAGCAAAAACTTCTCTTCCTACTTAGTAAAGTCTCTAAAAAAAGGTTTTTAAACAAAAACTTCTTTTTAATGAAATCTCTAAGAAAAAACTTCTCTTCCTACTTAGTAAAATCTCTAAAAAAAGGTCTTTAAGCAAAAACTTCTCCTCTTTAGTGAAATCTCTAAGAAAAAAAGGTCTTTAAGCAAAAACTTCTCTTCCTACTTAGTAAAGTCTCTAAAAAAAGGTTTTTAAACAAAAACTTCTTTTTAATGAAATCTCTAAGAAAAAACTTCTCTTCCTACTTAGTAAAATCTCTAAAAAAAGGTCTTTAAGCAAAAACTTCTCCTCTTTAGTGAAATCTCTAAGAAAAAAAGGTCTTTAAGCAAAAACTTCTCTTCCTACTTAGTAAAGTCTCTAAAAAAAGGTTTTTAAACAAAAACTTCTTTTTAATGAAATCTCTAAGAAAAAACTTCTCTTCCTACTTAGTAAAATCTCTAAAAAAAGGTCTTTAAGCAAAAACTTCTCCTCTTTAGTGAAATCTCTAAGAAAAAAAGGTCTTTAAGCAAAAACTTCTCTTCCTACTTAGTAAAGTCTCTAAAAAAAGGTTTTTAAACAAAAACTTCTTTTTAATGAAATCTCTAAGAAAAAACTTCTCTTCCTACTTAGTAAAATCTCTAAAAAAAGGTCTTTAAGCAAAAACTTCTCCTCTTTAGTGAAATCTCTAAGAAAAAAAGGTCTTTAAGCAAAAACTTCTCTTCCTACTTAGTAAAGTCTCTAAAAAAAGGTTTTTAAACAAAAACTTCTTTTTAATGAAATCTCTAAGAAAAAACTTCTCTTCCTACTTAGTAAAATCTCTAAAAAAAGGTCTTTAAGCAAAAACTTCTCTTCCTACTTAGTAAAGTTTCTAAAAAAAGTCTTTAAACAAAAACTTCTCTTCCTACTTAGTAAAATCTCTAAAAAAGGTCTTCAAGCAAAAACTTCTCCTCTTTAGTGAAATCTCTAAGAAAAAAAGGTCTTCAAGCAAAAACTTTTCTTCTTTATTGAAATCTCTAAGAAAAAAAGGTCTTTAAGCAAAAACTTCTCCTCTTTAGTGAAATCTCTAAGAAAAAAAGGTCTTTAAGCAAAAACTTCTCTTCCTACTTAGTAAAGTCTCTAAAAAAAGGTTTTTAAACAAAAACTTCTTTTTAATGAAATCTCTAAGAAAAAACTTCTCTTCCTACTTAGTAAAATCTCTAAAAAAAGGTCTTTAAGCAAAAACTTCTCCTCTTTAGTGAAATCTCTAAGAAAAAAAGGTCTTTAAGCAAAAACTTCTCTTCCTACTTAGTAAAGTCTCTAAAAAAAGGTTTTTAAACAAAAACTTCTTTTTAATGAAATCTCTAAGAAAAAACTTCTCTTCCTACTTAGTAAAATCTCTAAAAAAAGGTCTTTAAGCAAAAACTTCTCTTCCTACTTAGTAAAGTTTCTAAAAAAAGTCTTTAAACAAAAACTTCTCTTCCTACTTAGTAAAATCTCTAAAAAAGGTCTTCAAGCAAAAACTTCTCCTCTTTAGTGAAATCTCTAAGAAAAAAAGGTCTTCAAGCAAAAACTTTTCTTCTTTATTGAAATCTCTAAGAAAAAAAGGTCTTTAAGCAAAAACTTTTCTTCCTACTTAGTAAAAATCTTTAAAAAAATGTCTTCAAGCATTTAATCAAAAACTTCTCTTCCTACTTAGTAAAATCTATAAAAAAAGTCTTTAAGCAAAAACTTCTTCTCTTTAATGAAATCTCTAAGAAAAAAAGGTCTTTAAGCAAAAACTTCTCTTCCTACTTAGTAAAATCTCTAAAAAAAGGTTTTTAAGCAAAAACTTCTCTTTAATGAAATCTCTAAGAAAAAACTTCTCTTCCTACTTCGTAAAATCTCTAAAAAAAGGTTTTTAAGCAAAAACTTCTCTTTAATGAAATCTCTAAGAAAAAACTTCTCTTCCTACTTAGTAAAATCTCTAAAAAAAGGTCTTCAACAAAAACTTTTCCTCTTTAATGAAATCTCTAACAAAAAATGTCTTCAAGCAAAATCTTCTCTTTAGTGAAATCTTAAAAAAAAGGCCTTTTCTCTTGTGCTCTTGTGAAGAACTTGTAAAAAAAAATAAATCATGTTGTGTTGCCAGGCTTCTCTTATGCCGCTGCCGGGTCCTCACTCGAGCCCGGGCCCGGCTATTCCTCCCCTCTCGTCGGCTCTATGTGTATTTAAAATTGAAAATAATATTATGTCGCTTGAGAAAGAAAATTTTACTATTTACCTATATTTTTTTTTAGCATCACGTTGATTCATCTATCGGAGTATACATCATTGATAGATATACTTATTATGCACTGGAATTTTTAGAAAAGGTCAATCCTCAAAGTGATAAATCAATGGGCGAATTTGTAAGTGTAACTCTTACATAGGGTTTAGTTTCAAACAATATTTTATCTACTATTATTTTTTAGCTGAAAGTGTGCCCAAAGAGTGTCTGTATATCTACAGTTGGAGTAAGGAAGGACCTTTTTAACAGAAATCCGGATAATGTTCCGATTACCGATTTTTTTGGTTCAATCAGACCTGTAGAGGTTCTTTGCGATCTCTCTAATGTAACTCTTCTACAAAGTAAGCAACTATCCCAGGAAGAAGCATTCAAACCGAAGAAATATAGATATATAGATCCTATTGTAAACTTTAACACTATTAAAAGTTAATTTAAGGTCTTGTTTTTTATTAATAAAAAAGTACAATTTGGTATATTTAGACCCAGAGCTTAAGACTATGTGGGTCTTACAAGGTACAAATTTTATAATATCGTATCACAGAAGAATTCGGTACCTGCTTAGTTATAATAATAACAATACTAACTATAAAATAACTAAGAAAAAAAGGTCTTTAAGCAAAAATTTTTTTTCCTACTTGGTAAAATCTCTAAAAAAAAAAACGTCTTCAAGCAAAAACTTTTCTTCTTTACTGAAATTTCTAAGAAAAAAAGGTCTTTAAGCAAAAACTTTTCTTCCTACTTAGTAAAAATCTTTAAAAAAACGTCTTCAAGCAAAAACTTTTCTTCTTTACTGAAATCTCTAAGAAAAAAAGGTCTTTAAGCAAAAACTTTTCTTCCTACTTAGTAAAAATCTTTAAAAAAACGTCTTCAAGCAAAAACTTTTCTTCTTTACTGAAATCTCTAAGAAAAAAAGGTCTTTAAGCAAAAACTTTTCTTCCTACTTAGTAAAAATCTTTAAAAAAACGTCTTCAAGCAAAAACTTTTCCTCTTTAATGAAATCTCTAAGAAAAAAAGGTATTTAATCAAAAACTTCTCTTCCTACTTAGTAAAATCTATAACAAGTGATCTAAATTAAAAATTTAAAAAAACCGACTTCAAAAACGTGCAGATGCCGTCAGCACATCTTATCCAAATTTATATGTGGCCATTCCTGAGGTACCCTATTACTAACAAAAAAGAGAATCATATAAATAGGACAAGGTCGTAAAGCATTATCGCTAAACATACATGAAAAATGAAGAATTTCTCATGGACCCAGTTATCAGATTTTGACCAAATTTATATGGGACCACCCCTGAAGTACCCCCTTTCTAACAAAAAAATAATCATTGAAATCGGACACCGTGTTAAAGAATAATCGCTGAACATACATAAAAAAAAAAAAAAATATCGCGACGAATTGATAACCTCCTCCTTTTTTGAAGTCGGTTAAAAAAAAGTCTTTAAGCAAAAACAATACTAACTATAAAATAACTAATAATATTTAAATAAAAAAAAAAAAATACAGTAATTTAATATCACACTATTACTTAAACCCTAGATCTTTATGGTGCTAGAAAGCTCATTGTATTGTCTTAGACCATCAGATAGTATGCTTCGGTCACCAAAGCATGTTCTTACGACTGTGGTTCTGAAACAGCGATTATTCCGAGTATTATATATGGAATACTATGGAAACTGAAAACTATAGACCAATTTCACTAATCTCTAACGTAGGAAAAGTGTTTGAAAAAATGTTACAGAAACGAATAGCATCATTTATAAAAAAATATAACATATCAGATAAACAGTACGGGTTCCGTGAAAATATGTCAACATCGGATGCAATAACCAGGTTACTAGGAATGATAAACAATGCTTTAGACAAAAAACAACCTTCCATTGCCATTTTTGTTGACCTGGCTAAGGCATTCGACACCGTTGATCACAAGAAGTTATTATGCGGGATTTAGGGGTATTGCTTACAATCTATTTGAGAGTTACCTGAACGAAAGAAAACAGTGTGTGAATATTAGTGGAACTCACAGTGATTTCAGAGTTGTAAAATATGGAGTACCACAGGGAACAGTCCTAGGACCAATTCTATTTAATATATACTTGAATGATATATTTCTACAAGACACAAAAGGTGATATTGTGAGTTTTGCTGATGACACCGCGGTCTTCTATAAAAATGACAATTGGTCAGCTCTCAAAAATGACATTGAATTTGACTTTGTTAAAATAGTTCATTTTTTTGAGAGCAGACTACTTACAATAAATTATAAAAAAAACCTTTTTCTTACCGTTTACTTCATATAGCTCCGACTTACCACCATTTGAACAAATATCTATTACTGTATCCACAAGAGAAATGCTTCATATAAAAACAACAAATAAAATTAAATATCTCGGAATTTTCCTTGATTCCCATTTAAGATGGGACCATCAAATAAACTATTTAATAAAAAAACTAAGATTTGTACTATATAAACTTAAAAATATTTCTAACATCCTAAAATTAACTTACCTCAAAATTCTTTATTATGCATTAGTCGAAAGCCATCTAACGTACGTTCTTATTGCTTGGGGATCGACCGGTCAAACTATTATCGAATACCTACAAAAAATTCAAAAAAGTATTTTAAAAGTTTTATTTCACAAACCCAGAACCTACCCTACAATTGAGCTCTACCAAGAAACTGGGGTGCTAAATATTTACCAATTATACGTAAAAGTGATTTTACTAAAACAACATAAAGATAAAGCCACTTTAAAGTCAATCCAACATAGCTATCCAACTATAGATATAAGGAAAGCGCTGCCGTAATACCCAAAATGAAAAAAGCTATAGGAAAAAAAGTTTTACATACCTGGCTCCAAAGTTGTATAACCAATTACCATCTGATTTAAAAAAAAATAACTCCGCAAGTTTATTTAAAAAGAAAATAAAAAATTGGATCCTATCTTTTCCGACTGCTACATTGCAAAACTTTATTTCGCCGCGAAATGAAACATGTTATAGTCTGTCAATCTTATCGTGATTTAAAAAAAAACTTAATAATTTAATGTCTATTAATATTCTAATTGATTTTACTAAGACTGTTTTTTGATTGTCCTTTTATATTATATTTTACAGTTAAATTGTTTAAAATTCTATTGTGTGAATCTCAAACATTTCCTTTTATAAATGTACCTATACTTTTTAATTTAATTTTAATACATCTATTTTTCATGATAAATGAACTACTGCATTCACGCACAAGCCTGCTTTTGTGAATGTACACTCTATTTGCCATGAATATATGGGTGTCTACTTATTTACCTATCTCGTTTTTTATATACATGTATTTTTTCTAAATCTAAATTGTAATTTTAATTGAGGCAAATAAAGATTATTATTATTATTATTATTATACAGCTGTTAAAGATGAAACTAAACCTATAGTGCTTAAACGATTCAACATACAAAACCCAAAATTTCAGAATTTCAACTAAATATATTTGCGCATATTTTAGCCCAAAAATTTTTTTTTTTATAATTACAAAATTTTAAGCATGGCCGCCATCTTTATTTTTTTAAATAGCAACATAGGTCATGTGATATACCATTTGAAATGTATCACACATGGGGTCTAAACACAACAGAAAGGTTTTTTATAAACAAATGTTTATAAAAAACATTTGTTTACAAAAATTTGTAAACTTAAGCCATTTTATTGAAGCAATATAATTTAATGTTAACCCTATTACATGTATTTTACATTTTTATGAAAACGATAATTTATAAACAAAATAAATTAATAATTAAAATAAACATTACCTAACTTTTTAACGAATAAATTGTTCAAATTGACGTCTTGTGTCAAAATGCACAGCCTCCTACGCTCCCTATTAATAATAATTTTTGGGCTAAAATATGCGCAAATATATTTAGTTGAAATTCTGAAATTTTGAGCTTTGTATGTTGAACCGTTTAAGCACTATAGGTTTGGTTCCATCTTTAACAGCTACCCTGTATATCTATGGATACAGAGCTGGGAAATATACTTTAAAAAAGTATCTACAAGATACAGATACTTTCGTAAAAAGTATCTTAAGATACATTTAGAAAAAGATACCTACTAAGTATTAAAAATACCTTAGATACAAGATACCTCTAAAAAGTATCTATGATGGTTTTTGAAAAAGATACTTCTAAAAGTATCTAAAATACTTATAAGGTATCTTAGATACTTTTAGTAGCTAAGATACTTATGAAATATCTGCGACAGCCAATGCAGCAGATTTTCTTTGAAAATTGTGGTCGTCAGTGAGATGCCACAACTAGAAAACTTCTTATTTTGCTTGACTACTCTACATTCTTAAGTTTAATATTGAGAATGCATATTGATTAAAGATGGTTTGTGGTCGTTAAAAAAAAGAAAAAGATCCTCAGCTTATTTTTCGTAAAAACGAGGATCTTTTACCCGGACATTTCTCTATTTTTATATAAATCCGGTTCCTCTGCGACTTTTAAAAAGCATAAAGCATAAAAAGCGTACAAGCAAGTCTGGCAACCCTAGTAAATACAGAGTACTTAGCTAATTCACAAAGTATACTGACGGCATGAAATCCTCTGCAATGCAACACCGATCAGCGCATAATCGACAAGTCTGAACATGTGGCTAGACCTTGCGACCTTCGCGCAACCTAAAAACATCTATTTCACAAAGTATCTTAATTACTTTTAAAAAATATCTTAGGTACTTTTGAAAAGTAACTTAGATACTTATACTTATAAATAGATACAAGATACAGATACTTTTAAAAAGTATCTTTAAATTTAGATACTTTTGCATTACATGAAAAAGTATCTAGATACAAGATACTATATCTTGTATCTTAGATACTGAAAAGTATCTTTTTTTCTAAGATACTCCCAGCTCTGTATGGATATCATATAGAAAGTAGTCAGTTGTATGGACGAGTGTATATTATTCAAAGATAGGTTATGAATAAAAATGCATGTCTGATATTTAGAGAGGGACTAAATGTCTAAAATATTATTTGGACGATATAAAATATCAGTAAGATGACAATAAGGAAGTTGAATAGCTTTTCTGATTGCTCTATTCTGTATAATTTGCAAGGGGTTTAGTCTATTTTGGGAAGTTTTGCTCCGAATAAGAGTTAAATATGATAGATGTGAATAGATTGGTTAATGATACAGAGTCTTCCTTAAGTCAGCTGAAAGTAGGGCTGCCATACCTCCCGATTTCTCACACTCCCTCCCGCTTTTTAAACTAAGTTATAAACATCCCGATTTTTCAGAAATCTCTTAATTTGCCCCGAATTTACATTGAAGAGATATATATTAAAAAAAAAATTATTTTATTTAAGTGTTTTAGATTCAATAAATCTCCAATGATTAATCATTCACGCACATTTTTTCAATTAATATGAAGACCT